AGTAGATAGCGCTATTTGAGCAATAGCGAAATTCAGACCTGAAAAAAATCAGGCCTGTACGGGACTCGAACCACTGACCTCTGCGATACTAGTGCAGCGCTCTAACCAATTGAGCTAACAAGCCAACTGAGAGCAGGCCGTTAAGTTGATTCGTAATGAACCCGTGAAAGTGATAAATGAGATAGAATAAATATATGAAAATCATATATTTTGAACTGCGGTATTTGATACGTATGATGGACGATCCTCGCAGTAGATAGCGCTATTTGAGCAATAGCGAAATTCAGACCTGAAAAAAATCAGGCCTGTACGGGACTCGAACCACTGACCTCTGCGATACTAGTGCAGCGCTCTATCTACTGCGAGGATCGTCGAATCAACTTAACGGCCTGCTCTCAGTTGGCTTGTTAGCTCAATTGGTTAGAGCGCTGCACTAGTATCGCAGAGGTCAGTGGTTCGAATCCCGTACAGGCCTGATTTTTTTCAGGTCTGATTTTCGCTATTGCATAAATAGCGCTATCTACTGCGAAGGATCGTGCATCATACGTATTTAATACCGCAGTTCAAAATATATGAACTTCATATATTCATTGTATCTGATTTATCATCACGGGTTTATTACGAATCAACTTAACGGCCTGCTCCCAGTTGGCTTGTTAGCTCAATTGGTAGAGCGCTGCACTAGTATCGCAGAGGTCAGTGGTTCGAATCCCGTACAGGCCTGATTTTTTTCAGGTCTGATTTTCGCTATTGCATAAATAGCGCTATCTACTGCGAAGGATCGTGCATCATACGTATTTAATACCGCAGTTCAAAATATATGAACTTCATATATTCATTGTATCTGATTTATCATCACGGGTTTATTACGAATCAACTTAACGGCCTGCTCCCAGTTGGCTTGTTAGCTCAATTGGTAGAGCGCTGCACTAGTATCGCAGAGGTCAGTGGTTCGAATCCCGTACAGGCCTGATTTTTTTCAGGTCTGATTTTCGCTATTGCATAAATAGCGCTCTCTACTGCGAGGATCGTGCATCATACGTGTCTACCTTTATGCTAAATAAATTATGAACAGATTGTGTTTTTTGACGTTCTCAAACTCACCCACTCTTTCGGCCGATTTTTCACGTTCCTTTATCAGTCAGCAATCTTTCACCTTCTTTTATCAGTCAGTGCAACATGGTTTTGCCCGGTCTGTTCTCTATAGTGATGTAAGCCGTTGTAACTGAGAAATATGAAAAATACTTCGCAATAATTACTGAAGCGTTGAAAAATCGGCCTAATGAAATTCAAATGTAGCGTGTTCCTCCCACAGTCTGAACTAGACTGAACGTGTGCTCCATTTTTAGATCGGACGGTTAGTAGGACTCCTTGTCGGACGACGAGTTGGACTCAGTGTTACGTTTCGAGTTAAATATCTAAACGTTGAGATAAACTCGTACTTAATTTAAACAAGGCAAGATGACATTCATTTTTGTTTATTAAACTACAAGATTAGTCTACTCTCACTGCCTCAATATTCTGAAATATTTCTTTTAACAGCGTTCCAGAAACGTACTGGTTGAATTTTACATAATACATTTGGTCCTCGGACTCGTCAATATCTATCTATTTCCAATAGCCGCGACAAAACTTTGCGAAGAGATACAGTTCCCATGAATACATTTGGTAGAAAGATAAAATGCGTGACACCGTCTAATATAAGAGCCAAGTTCTCCCAACTTACCTGCAATATTTTTAGGTATTAGCGTCGCAAAATTTTGCGGTCGCTTTTCGATTGTAATCTATGCAGACGCAAAGGGTGCGAATCACGTGAAAAATAGTTCATTTAAACTCTTTGAAACTTCATTATGTTTTTGGTCAAAACCGCTACCGCGTTCAAATTAAAACAGCATTTCTGATTTCATTTCCGTCTGGAAGAGTTCAAGTGGGCACCAAATTAGCTTAGGCTGTGCTGCATTACTTCTTTTTTAACGTTACCACGTTACCAAATAACCGCATTCCTTTCTTTCAATCAGAACTGATGGGGAACATGTGTTCAAGTTTATTTTTATGGGGTAGAATCCTATATCTTTCAATTGCGTATACCGTGCGATATTGCCTCCATACAAAAATTAGTTTTCTTACTCCCGCCCTTTATCACAGATGCTACTCACGTCCCCCCGTTAAAGTCAAGGCGGTCAGAATTAATCAATTTTTAATTCTCACATTTACGACTTAAAAGCACACGATCCACGTTATAATAAGTTAGTTCCTTGAATTTGGTCAGTAAATTCGCACAAATTGTTTTTGTCCCAGCTGGCAAGACCTATCGTGGAGATTCTCTTCTGGTTGTCGGTAACGCTCTGGCTTGCAAAACGCAGACTTCGTATATCCGGTTGTCTCCGCCCGAGCTGCTGACGACATAAGGAAATATATCGATTCCTACAGATTGTCCTCTGGCCAGAAAAGAGTCCAACAGTTAAAAAAAGTATGCCAGTGCGGAATGCACCTTGGAATATAAACTTTAAAAGACTCTGAATCGCAGTTTTGTTTCGTAAATTCGCGCATCTCTTTTTTTGAGGGCTTTTTCGAAGGTATGTTTTAAGGTCATGCGTGACTGCAATAGTATTTATTTTAGGATCATGACTTAACATTTCTTTAAGATTTGGAATGGTGCGTTGAAGTCCTAAATGTAATAACTTTCCTAAATGTAATAACACTTGGACCTGAATGTAATAAAGTCATAAATGTAATAACATTTGGTCCTAAATGTAATAAAGTCATAAATGTAAGAACATTTGGTCCTAATTGTAATAAGCCTCCAAAGCAATAGTTTAACTGTGCTTGTGCATCCGCATTGAGATGTTAAAGTGACAACTGCTTCACCAGAGAATCCTCTAACCAAAATTGATGGCGTGTTGTGGGCTCTCTCGCTGATTTTAATCCTTTTTTTTTTTTGCTTGAGATGTAGGCCGAGAAGCATTGGGTACAAACCTTCACACTGATGTGCTTTTGGAATCAAATTGACAGATCCCAAAACAGTGGAACGCTGACCAATCCGGCCATCTTGACCGAACAGCCTTGGTCAAGATATTTTATATTTACGGCAAGTAATTTTTCACGAAAAAAATGCGTTTTCTTTTTAGTAATAATGGATAACGGAAAATCGTGTCTTTGTTTCACGCATCGCGACTGGCATATCATTCACATTTCACGGCTTTTCACTTTTTACAATCACGATTCACGGCAGTTAAAAACAGCCAATCACGTTTCGCTGAAAACCCCCACATTTACATTTAGACATGGAGACGAGACGGACGAGACGAAATTTTTTGTCTGATCATTTGCTAATGCAGATTTAAAAGACGCAAACCTGCGACTAGTTGAAGAATCATAGCATGAAAACTGAAAAATTCTTAACCTTGGGATCCTAAAGATATTTATGAGAAGACAAATCAGAAATTTCGGAAGCATTGTAGCACTTGTAAACGAACAATTTAGTTAATTTAATATTACCACTAGTGTTGTTTACCCATTCAGACTAGGAACAATCTAGGACGTGTGAAAGAACTGAAGCAGGAACTATTTCCAAACAGAATTTACATAAACTTCAACATTTAATCATTGTAATTTTTTCCATCAATATATATTTTCACTGTAACATCAGATATGTAATTTTATAACATAACCAAAGTAAAGCACGCGCTCTGATTGGTCAATTTAGCGTCCCCCATTTGCCCATGGGTGTACGCTGCTGATGTGAGCAAATGCAAAGACTATTTTTCCGCGCGCGCTTGTTTTTTCTGGTCACGTAAGATTTGTTGAATAAAAGGGAACTCTTTACCTACAATGCATCAATGTTATGTTATAAAACAAATGGTAAACACCACAGCGTACACTATTGAGTTATGGATGCACGCGGGAGGTTGCTAAGCACGAAAGAAGCGTAAGAGTCGCTCGAGGCGATAGCCGAGAGCGACTCTAGCTTCTTCTTTGTTAATTATCTCTTCCTTTTCCATTTGAAAGGTTGTGCTCATGTCAGCGTAACAGTTTTTAACGAGCATTGCTCTGTTGCAGGGTGTGCAACGAACCATAACTTTAGATTCTGTGTTTCCTGTGATTTTGCTCTTACATCCTTTGGTGTTGTGTCAATGATGACATTTTGTATTTCTGGGCAGCAGATTTGAGGCTTGATAGCAGTTGCATCTGTATTTACGTTGGTAATATTTTGCTTCTCGGCTGGCTTTCTGGTGGTTTCTGTAGTGGTACTGATTTTCATCCCATAGAAGGACTTTACAGTGCAGTTGGAGATCTCAAAGAAATCCCCTTGCTTGATGAGAGAAATGTGGTCTGACCAAATCGAAATATCTATAGTCCCTGTTGAGTCTACTTATTTACTGTCTCTTACTGGTCGTTTAGAGTTTTGTGGTGGTAAAGCTTCACTGTCCCATCAAATTAAGCCTGAGACTGTGACCATATCCCTTGCCTCTTAGTTTTTAAACATCTGCTATAGATGTAATGGGTGGTGCTGCTAGTGGAACATATTTAAAGGGAATGGCCTTCGGGGAGACATCCCTAACAATGCTCGATTGTAGTAACCAACTTCTATATTACTCTGAAAATAATCAAAAGTCAAATCCCTAGTTACAAGTTACAATTAGTAATGTCCTTTCGTTGACTACTGTTTACTTTCAGTTGTGCTGCGAGTCCTTCGCGCCCAATAACAGACTTGCCTCTGACAAATCCAGAAATTGCCGAGTCTTTCGGCTTTGTGCAATAAGCTTGATTTGTGGCTGAAAAATCGGAGTTAACTAGTCTTTCAGTCAAAATGCTAAACTTACATCGTCTTCTGAGCATCGGCGAAGTTATTTCTGTATTAACTTCTGTATAATTATCACAAATGAGTCAAGACAGCTTTTAAGCACGAAACAGCACCCACCGCGCTTTTCACCCGCTTTTCACACTTTGATGATCGCGTAGACTCCGACTGAAGAAACTCTAAAACTCTGAGAATAATCCAGCATCAAAGCAAACGAGCTAGAAGCTCAACTTTTGCGTGTATTTGATATTTGGTTATACTTTAATTATACTGCAAGTTCTTTACGTTAAGTTCTCACGCTAACTGACTGAGCTGTGGACCCTCCGCCGCCTTCGATCGAGACTTCACACAACTATTTCTCTTTTGACGGATTTTGATCATCTTTTAAACTCAAAACTACCTTTAACTGTTAGAAAGATGCTACACAAACTTACTTGGACTTGGAATCGCTTCTTACGCAACACGATGACGAAACCAGACGCTTTTCAGGGACGCTTAATTCTTTGCATTTTCTGCTCAATACATAGGACATTGTATTTGAATTTAATTCTCCCTATCGTCTTTCAAAGTATACCACAGCTGTGGTGGACATTATGTTGGAAGAAATCGAAAGTGAAGATGCAGGAATAATGGCAGCTGAGGGCTTTTGAAAAGTTCTGCAGTATATGTCCTTTCCTTAGTCTTAAAACTCATTAAATGGTCTTAAATGCAATCCTTTGCCTTTACTTTAAGTTAGACTTTGAGAGATATTTCTTTTACTGTGCGAAAAGGTTGGAAAATGTCACTCGAGATATCTTTTAATACCGACAAAATGAGTATAGTAAGCGAACCGTTGATTAACTTGGCAGTAATAGTTGAAATGCTTTTTCTCACTTCACTGAGGTTCCAACCAAGGCTTTATCAATCTCGCATCCCACCGCTGTTTTTTATCCCATTCCGCCATCTCAGCGCCATGAGAATTTTTGATCATGCCTGGCTAAAACCGAGTCACGGTTGCCCGGGCTCAACGCCGTTCATCTAAGCTGTTCCTATTATCCATCTAAGCTGATGGATAATATCAAGAGTTCATATTCTATTGAAAATATACATAACTTCTCTATTACCAAAAACATACTCCCGCTTAAGCAATAATGAAATGACTTCATTTATCTTAGATGCCTTTGCTAACTGCGGGCAGTGCATATTTTTTGTAATATTGTAATATTGTAATATATCATTAAACTTTCATTAAAACAGAATAAACTTCTTAGAGTAAAAAAACAAAAAAAAAAAGTTCAATTAGACACAAAAGCGCCACAAACGGCGGATTCACCTAAGTGAAAACTATAAGCTCGCTCGCATACACTTCATTATACTCAGTCTGTTGCTATTGAAAAGGCACACTTACGTTCGCTTAGGTAAGCAGCAAATGCGACGTGTGAAGTTTTTCCTTCGCTCTGCTTTACGTACAGCAAGGGAACGTAACTGTCAGTTAGGACTTCTTAAGAGACAACTGTTCTGCGGCTCGTGGCTAGGTAAATTTAAGATAACGAATCAACTGTGAAAACGAACAGATCAGCAAAATCGGACTGTTGCGCTTTTGCATGATAAACATTCTTGTGAACCCGCGTAACGTGTTACTCCGCGTTGATAAACCAGTCATGCAAGAGATGCTTGCATAACAGGAAGAAGTCAATTACAAATTTTTCTTGCGAGCTCAGTTCTGAGATCATTTTAAGGTCTTAGGGCCAAATCAAAACGTTTCAACCCATACCTATTTCTAAAACTCTAATTATAGCAGTAAGAACATTCTACTCGCTCACCGCTAATGATGAGAAATCCCTAAAATAATAACTCAACAGAATGTTCCGGAATAAGGAGAAGTTTCTAGCACAGCTCATAAAAATAGTGACGTGGTAATTCAATGTTCTAAATTGTTCTCTCGATTTCTGGAAACTTCGCCACAAACAGATTTGGATCCCGGCCCCGCCGTCGTATGCGGAGCACATGAACAGATTACAATGATCAAGAATATTTATACAAAGAATGGAAAAAAAAAACAAACAAACAAACCAAAAAAAAACAATAATCTCCTTTTCACGCGCTGAACTGGTAAAAATACAATGTTCTAAATAATATACTTGATTGATAGGTCATTGACCAAGATCAAACTGGAGCCCAGAACCATCCAGTCTGCTCAGCACTTCTTTTTCAAACCTCTGGATCAACTCGGGAGTGAAGTAATCTTTCCAGCCTCCAACCTGACCTTTCCTGAGGAAGTTGGGTAGTTCGCCATCACGAGTCATCATCCAGTAAGCCGATGAATTATTTTTCATGGCGTCAAAGGTACACTGTTTAGCTATGGTGTCCACCATGTCTTCTGTCAAGGACTTGCCCAGAAACTTAGTTATTAGGCGTATTTGAGATGGTAAGTCCTGAGAGAACAAGTATAGGTGCAATCAAAGTTCATGACTCATTTGGGCAATTTAGTGTAGTAATGGTAGTCAGTTATTACCATGTGTTATATATGTAGATATATATTATTATAACTTACACTTACCACGAAAGATCTGATTGGTCGAGAGCATTCAATCAATACACAGAAGCGTGTGAAGTTGACATGATATCTGCAGTGGATATTGCATTTATCGAGTTCAAAGTCTGCCTACTTTCCTTGCCCCTCGTCAGTGTGGTGTTCTCAAACTTTTTCAAACACAGAGGGAAGTGTCTTCTTTTGAAGATTGTGAAAAAAAGTGCATAACAAAATAATCGTTGAATTTGATTTTCGCATGATATCATAAGTTGTCAAACTCGTGTGGACGTTATCTGCGAAAGCCGAACTCAGATCTCGGTGTTGATAATTAGTGATATCATACTTGACCTTATCCACTAATAAATTATTATGTTCCAGTTAGATAAATAAACAGTATTTGATTAAGGAGAGTGGGGTGAGAGGGGGGGAGGGGAGGGGAGTTGAGTTTTCGCTCAGTAGACCTAGGCCTATCTTTGCAATAAAAATGCATGTTAGATTCAAGGTTTTAAAAGGCATAGGGAATCTTAAAGGAACACGAGTGAGTGAGAATAAGCTGATACAAACGAATTAAAAGAACGCAATACCGAAATATTTTCATGTGTCTTAGTCGTGTGGTGCAAAACCATGCACGTTCAATATTCTTTTGAGGTGACGAATACTGTTGTCGCCCATCTGGTAAAGCCAAGTGGTCTGTAAAATCCTGATTCTATCCATTGAGCTGTAAAATCTGTAAAATCCTGATTCTATCCATTGAGCTAACCGCCTCCCGGTTAGCTCAATGGATAGAGCGCTGGACTGTTGTGCGGGAGGTCGAGGGTTCGAGCCCCGGCCGGACCAACACTCAAGGTCTTAAATTAATTGAGAAGAATATGCTACCTTTCTATAACATCAAGAAATGGTTAGATATTCTTGTCTTCTCGGATAGGGACGAATAAATGGAGGTCCCGTCTCCTGCAAGGTTGGGGTAGGAGACGTTAATTTCCCACACACGAGACTACTGTGTGATGGATGTCCTCCCCTGGGGTGGGATGGGTGGGAAGGTGAGATCCATAGACTGAAGCGGCTGCCAGAAGGCGCCTGATATGCTGACGTCTGTTCTCAACCTTACACTGCATCCGTAATTCAGCCTCTGGGCTGCAAGTGGTCAGATATAAACTATATAACTATATTCCACTAGCTCTTAGTCGAGCACTTCACATAGATTTATGAAAAGATGGGTGAAAAAATTGATGAGGTGTTTATCTCAGTCACAACCCACGTAAGAAACCACAAACCTTCTTCACGTCTTCGTATTTGAGAAACAAAACGTTTTTGTCATCTTTGTGTCTCCACCATTCCAGAACATGCTCGGTCCAAGGTCCCCAATATACTAAAATCAAGCAGCAGAAGATACTTTCAGAGATATTTTGCTGACATTTGATCAGGCTGACTAAGTTTATTGTCAACAAGACTAAACTGAACAATGGCAATGAAGTAATTGGTTACTTTGTAATCTGTGACGTAACATAAGTGATTGACGGGTATATAGATGTTCATGACAGGTACAGTCAGTGCTCGTGTCATGACCCAACGCAACTTGTTGCCAATGTAGGATCAGCAACAGGACTTTCTCAGATACTGGGAGGTAACGCTCGTTTGCACAGCAGAGCATTAGCCTGGAATGTTAAGCTATTCACCGAATCAAAATATGGCGTCGAATTTGAATTACAATTGTTTTGGACTTACTAGCCTCGTCTTCAGGTGGAAACACATAGGGATTATCACATGTGTGAGAGGCTAGTAAGTCCAGAACAATGTCAATTCAAATTGGACGCCATATTTCGATTCGGTGTATACCCCCTCACCTTAAAAGAAACTAAAAGGGTAGCAGCTCCCCATATACCTTTTGTAAGGGGAAGAACAACTTCTCACAGGCTGGTACTGCATCACGTGACAACAACGGTACCTAAAACATCATCTGGTATCATGTTTGGAGTTGACAAAAGCTATATATCCCACATGACGGTGATTTTGAATTTTGCAGGCAAAAGTTGATATCTTCCTGGCGTTTATAGTCTGCTTACGAGCTTCTTCTTAAAAATGTACGGATTTCATTGTTTTGTACACTTCGAATACGATACATAAAGAATTTATTAAACTTATGAGCCGTGACACTGACCAAAAGAATCGAATTTCCACATGACTAACCTTGACCCTTTATAAACATGTCCGCAAAAAATTCAAATGGCCCAGAATAGTCCGTAATAGGCGCCATTTTGCTCTCAAAATTATAGTATGAAACAACGGCATCGAGGGGATTTCTTGCAACATAGATGTATTTACATCTTGATTCTTCGCTTGTTCCTTTGGGGATTGTATGAAATGGCTGATGAGTCTTCATGAGGCGAGGACTGGGTCTAGTGGTGATGTCTGGCTGGGTGGTATGAGGAAATGTGGCCTCGTCAAAGAATTGAACTCGGTGACCAATTGGCACTTGGGTAACTTCTCCACCATTGAAGATCTGCCAAGTGACCTCTTGAAGCCACGTGGTCCCTAGAATATCACTAAATAAGCCTTTCAAAATATATTGTTGAAGACTTCACGATAACAGCATCTAATAACCATTAATTTGGATAATATCAATATGGTCAGTGCTAAGGAAAATAACAACACTCATGAGTCAACAAACATGTTTTAGCAGGTGCATCTGTCACCTTCAGGGTAAACTGAACATTTAACGTGTACAGTAGAATATATTTATACCACAAATAGCAGTAATTTCGAAATCTGATTGGCCAATTTGCCGTTGTCGATAAGAGTATAGACAACGCGCTCGCGTCAACGTATCACGCAACGTGTCACGCACGTCGATATTGTGGTAAAATACAAATCGTCAGTGGTTTTAGCGTGGTCTTTAGTCTTATCAACAACGATATTTGTCATCACAGTGGTCAAAATCTGTTGCAGACTCACTCGGCTGCGCCTCCTGAACCACTGTCGATTTGTTAATCTTGGAAATATTTTCACGACGATGGCACTAATCATGAGAAATCTACAATTATCAATGAACTAACCAAAAAGAAACATGGTTGTTAAACTTACGAGTGTCGTGGTTTTTCTTTGAAACTATTTAATACCTTGTCAACGAGTTGGAAATTTGAAGCCATCCATAGGCGTATCAGGAAACGTGTGTGATCGTTTCACCAAAAAGAGTACGGTGGTAGTGGATCCGGGTCTCCATAACTAAGTAATTTTGGAAATTTTTTGTCCTTTTTTCACTTTTAAAGAAGATAATTTAACCAACCTGATCTTGGGAAACCGACAATAAAGACATCATCATGTCTGGTCTGAAAATTCTCTATGAAATCTTTGAATCCCGTGGCCTGAAAAGGAGGCATTCTAACTCCTAGCACCAGCGCAGTTTTGCTGTTGCGGTATTCACCATCTCTCTCCTGTATGAGATCTTCGTCATTAGTAGCCATGAACAAAGGTTTTTTTCTGGAAAATGTAATTAAAAAGTGAGCTAAGCAAGGCAGGTTTTTATCTATTGAGGTATACCGGCATGGCTACTACGGCTTTTTGAAGGAACCAGGTTGTGAACTGTACTTTTGAAATGAATGCACAAACTAAATGCTAAGGTCGTTCCTTTGTAATCCCTTTCATCCGGGTTCGTTCTTGATTCATTGCACCCATCGCCTTAACCCTATGCATACTAAGTGAACACATATGTCCAGATAATACCGTTACTACTATTGATACTTGTTTTTTGTTGAACTTAAGACACAACATTATGTACGTGTGTAAATTGTACCGGCTAGTTAATGTGATACCTTTTGCAACCTAAAACGCCCACAATGATTCCTGATTTTCATTGCAGTGAACCGTTCGTATGGCAACAAATCCCAAAGTCCATCATTTTGCTCCAAGAGCAACACCAAAACATGTCGAAAACGACGGAAATCGCCAAAACTGAACACAACGGACACACAAGGAATGAGTAAGTTTTATTAATCTAACGTGTAAAATGTTCATATTTCGGAATATTTAGTGTTTTAAATGGACCATATTTTGTTCCCCATACTATTCCTTATAACGCATTCAAATTAACAACGTTTGCTCGCGTAACTTAACACCGAGTCACACAACGCGTGACTCGGTGTCACTCGCGTGACGCTTTCATGAAATAATCCTTCGCTTTGCTAGAGACGTGAGCTTGCGACGCCTGTGCTCAAACGAAGATATTAACGGAGTCTAGCTCGATGCCTAACTCGAATTCAAACTCAAGCATAGCTCACTTCTTATCGAAATGTGAAAATACGGTGGGTGATCTCATCAGATCTTCAATCTTCTCACTGTGCCTTGAAAATTAATGGATGGCAAAAGCGTTGAGATTGCTCCCTGTTTGTGATTAGCAATGCAAAGAGCACGCTATTTCTCCGGTTTTAGATGTATAGAATCTCACCTTCAGTCCTATTTAAAGTGTGGAAGTCTTTCTCTTCTTAATTTTCCTCGCTCAAGACTCAGTTATGGACCAGATTGTCTCGAACTTAGAGAACCTAGATACGATCAACAGCCGGTCTTCAGCCCTTGAACTGATGGTGTTACGCACGGACTTTGTCATCGTTAATTTCCGCCAATCAGAACTTTGTCTGCTCAAATCATAATTAAAGGTTAAATGAGGGTAGGCGTATGATACAAAAGAGGGTTTTTATTCACTCAAAAAGACTCGCAATGAACACTTTGAGGTCATTAAAACCATAGTTAGTAAGTAACTTACAACTAAAACTGATTGAGAAGAGAGGTTAGAGCCCAAGCTCAGTAATATTATTTATTACACGACTCGGGCAGTCAGAGGGCAAATAACTAAAATCAACCAATCAAAATGCTCTATTGCCGGTCCAATGTTCTCTAAGTATTGGACCGGGCACTGTCCCGAATGGTCCCGAATGATAACGCACTTGTGTCCCTTTGAACTGACTTCAGTCGTATAATAAATCTCTTATTAACCAAGCTTGCTCAGGACCGTACTGGAAGAATATCAGCCCTCGGTCTTTTTTGTACGGACCTCGCTGCGCTCGGTCCGTACTGTCAAGACCTCATCCCATATTCTCCCAGTGCGGCCCTCGCGCTTGGTTAATAAGATATATTTATTCTACAAGTGACCAGGAAGCTTCCAAGGTTGAAAAAAACGCTACAAAGTGCGATCCGAGTGCACTGTTTCAAAATATTATGACTCCGTCCATTTTATTTCTTATTGCCCACTGGAAAATCCATCATTTCCACAAACCCAGACAATTTGCTCCAATGAAAAAGAATTTAGACAAAGGTTCGCAAGTGATTTTGTCTCCACAGGAGATTATGTCACCTTCCGTCATGTCGAGCTTCCTCCTAACCATATCAGAATTTCCGGGTAAATAGAACGTGTTACAGTCACGTTTTCTTGTTTAAGCGAAAGAAGGTTTAAGTCATGGGGTAAAATACCCAGGAAAGCGGTCAAAGAAACAACGATTGTAAGACTAGCTTCAAGCAATAAAAGCAAATTTACTGAGGGAAAAAGCACAACCAGCTTACAACATCAAGCAGAATGAATTAAAGGAGCTCTACAAACTGACCCTGCTTCTATGAACACGATTGATTATTGCAGTTATACACACAACCTAAGTAGTTGTGAAATTAAAGCCTGAAAAAAATTCAGGCCTGAACGGGATCAGAACCTATGACCTGTGCGATACCGGTGTAGCACCCTACTAACTGCAGGAGCTATCAAGCCAACTGGGAGCTGGTCACGTTGTGAGTTCGTGATAGACCCGTAGATAGTGAAGAAACAAGTGAATAGATGAAAGATCACATATTTGAACTGCGGACCTGTACCTCTCTTCAGTAGAAAGCCTGTGACGATGAAATATGATCAAAATTAAACCAATAAACGAAATGCTCAGTTGTCATGGAGCTTCGTGCGTTTTCTCGATAATACATACAGCGCCTCCAAAACAGTTACAGGCTGAACTGTTGAAGAAAGACTGAAGCCAGAGTGTTTCGATCCGTCAAGCTCTGATCCATTACCCGAAAAATAGACGAGGTCAGAACGCTTCTTCGGCAGTGTAACCGAGTTTATTGAAAATAAACCTTTAAGGTGAAACGAGAAAGCGTCTTCACCGGAGCACCTACAATTTACAGTTTTCTATTTTTTGACAGCATGCCTCCTGCTATCCCACAAAAAAAAAAAACAAAACAGTAACAAAACAGTACGTGAAAACGTGTAACGCAACAGTTACGCGTGACGGAACACAGAGGAAAGGATGTTTCAAACTTTTTGTTTCAACCATCTAACTGATTTATCGTTTATATATGTATAAAAAAAAACTAAAAAGCAGGACTAACGAAATTTCGAGCAATCGAGCACATGTTAACGGGAATGCGAGCATGCGAGCAGTTGCGAAAATTGTGCGAGCACGAGCAAGCGAGCACCCGTGTAATTTTTGCGAGCAATTCGAGCAAAGGCCAAATTTTGCGAGCACTTTTATATTGAATGGGACCATTCGATACCCCTACTAGTGGTCGTTTTAACGCTATTTTGGCGACTTTTTTTGTACCACTTGTTGTGATACTATTTATAGGTAATTAGCTGAAGATAAAATTTTGATTTGCAAGAGGAAGTCGCGCGGGTAGTGAATAGAACCACCGCAACGAATTTATGTTCGTGGACGTGGACCCATCTTGCAATATTTTCTGCCAGTCTTGTAGTCTTTCGCTTTTGAGGTAAACCTTGATCTTTTATTTCAATGTTCCTGTTAGCTGTGATTGAAATTTGACCATGTGAACGAATTCTGGCTTTCCTATAATCGCCATTAACGAAGTTTGTCTTCATGCGCGATAATATACATTCAAAAATTCAGCAATTTTCTATGCTGAGAACCCGTCTGGTTATCCCAAACAGAATTGAAAGTTGAGATTGAAAGCTGCACAAGTTGAAACTGAGTGCAGAGAGCAAACGTTAAATTCATAGACAGAAAAATGGCGGACAGGCTAAAAAAGAGACAAAGTTTTAATTGAGAGGACCTCAGAGTATGAAGAAGAATGCTAGAATTAGAAACAAAATCACTCAACAAAGCTCAAATGTCTGACTTCTAATTCGTGTTCAACGCATTGGAAACTTATCTTCGAGACAAAATCTTTTTCACTCTTGGCACATCGTGTCTTATACAGAAGACTTCGCTTTTGACCGTGCTTTGTTTGGAAAGCCGGGTTCGCTTGTGGACTATTGTCGCGGATAGGAAAGGTTCGCTTGTGGACTATTGTCGCGGATTGGATTTCAAGTGACGCATAACGGAATCCCGCAACAGAATCGAGTCGCAATATTGTACGGAAATACAGTCACATTTTGCTCTTATCTCCCCATGTGGACATCGCTGAACTGAATGAGCGAAGTTACCACCGCTCTCTAGAGCACAGGTATAATTGAATTCTTCCAACTTCAGAGATTTATTTCTCTCTCTCTGTTAACTTAATTATGTATTGAACTGTATCGATCTCCATTTACTGACCCAAGGGGTAGACTCTTCAAGGGGCCTTTAGAGTATTTTCATGGTATTAACTACGACAAAAAAAAACATTTCTTGGCCCGACCGATCCCCCAGTAGCTGACGAGATATATCTATGTATCTCAGTGCTTAACAAGGTCATTTAAAGGCATCAAATCAACACCGAATCAATATGCTCGCTATTTGTCGGCGTTAAATTATTCCCTGTTCCGCGAAACGAATCGTTTTCCAGGAGAGCGAAGCTCAAGGAAAACTGTGAGCTTGAAGGAACAGATCATGTCCAAGGACAAATATAGGAGCAAATTTTAGCACCAAATGGGGGTTACTGTATTTACTATCCTTCATAATAAATACAGTAACCCCATTTGGGGGTTAACAGCGCTAACAGCGCTTGGGACAGAACGATTACGAATGGCTCACCGTTTACACTAATCAGTGTTCTCGGGTACAACTATACGTCCCTTCTTTTGCAATATCAAAAAAAAAAAAAAATTTCTCTGATGTTGAATTGAATTTTAAAAGAAAACTTTTTACCGAACAGGACGCTTAGGGAAAATGGGGAATATCATGTGGGGAATATCATGTGGGGAATACACTGATATCACGCGCCGCTTTCTTGGATTTATTTATAAGAAGTGTATTGCGTTACAGTGTCTTTGAGAGGAGAAATACGCAGTTATGGCCCTCGGTCACTGCGGTGTAAACTTCTTTAAGAACGAGAGACGAAAGTGGGTTCTGTCCTCGTGTACTGGTTCTCAAGAGCCGTTACAAAAGACCGAACAATACACAACAGCTAACCAATGACTCCTAAACAAAGAAAGAACAATGGTAATTCCCTTGTGAACCGGTACACCAGGACAGAGCCCGAAAGTGGTGAGAATTTGTCGTTTTTCAACCATTCTTCAAATAACTTACTCAGAAAGCCGAGAAGTTAACACACATATAATATTACAGCACTGGTTCGTCGGCATTACTGGAAGAATATAATAAATCACGATTAAACAAGGATATAGTCAATCAGTATCCTCTGATTCAGGCTTCACGATTCTACACCAGAAAAAATCGCTTTTTTGCTCAAATTTTTCCTATCAATTCAATTGCGCACTATATCGACGTATGTAATCAGCGTGAAGTAGTTCTTTGAAAAAGCATTGTTCGGTTTCTTGGTTTTCTTTTTCCCAAAATGATGGAAGAGGTTACGAATGTTACGGTAATTTTTTTCTTTCGATAAGATGAATCCTACAGGGATTTTACTATTGGGCAACAATGTCTATAGCACACGGCGTCATTATACCGTGAATCTCATAAAAATTGTGCTATATCAGTAGCCGCATGCAGTCTTAGACTGCCTAATATTTGTTTTTGTATTCTTTGATTTTTGGAAGTTTATTTTTTTGTCTTTCATTGTTGCAGCTGTTCTCCTTGCTGACAGATACCTCCACTTAGCGTCCACGATGGCAAGTGACGAACTCATTCAAGAGGGAGACGGTGAGTACCGTCACGGAAAAGCTGTTATGGTCAAAGGAGTCAGGATGCCTCATGTGTACGCCTACTTGACAGGATTTGCAGAGTTCATCAATAATTTTATCACCAAAAACGACGATGTTTTTATCGTTGGTTTTCCAAGGTTAGGTGAGTTCGCTTCCTCAAGAGGAATGATTTTATTTCATTTTTTTTCTGAATCATATGAATCAGTGCGCTTGTGAACTGAGTTTCTTACAACCAACACCAACATAGTTTTAACGGCCACTTAGAGCGGAGAAATCAACATGGTTTAAAGTTATTAATGATTCACAATAAATACATGTCTACAGACTTAAAGGCGGGAAATAGCTTTGTTGCCCAAGGCACCATTGGTTTACGTTTTGCGTCTGTTTGGTTGCGAAGTAGGGGCGTCTTTTGGACCAGTCATTAAGTGCAGAGAGGAGAATGCAAACATTTCCTTCTTTTTTGAGAATTTTCCTCTCACCTTTCACTAAAATTGCGTGATTTGTCTCTTAATCATGGGCCCTCTTATCTTCTAGGAACCACGTGGCTTCAAGAGGTCACTTGGCAGATCTTCAATGATGGAGAAGTTAGTCGCCTTCCTATTGGTCACCGAGTTCAGTTCTTTGACGAATCAAATTTCCCCATACCACCCAGCCAGACGTCATCACTAGACGTAAATACATCTACGCTGCAAGAAATCCATTCAATGTCGTGGTGTCCTATTACAACTTCGACCTCAAAATGGCGCCTATGACTGACTATATTGGGCCATTCGAATATTTTGCTGATATGTTTATCAAGGGGACAAGTAAGACACTCTTTGATTAAGTGCCGCTAAACTAAAAAAAAATTGAAACACAATAATATACTCTGAGCCTGAGGCGAGTGATTGTTTCAGCATAACTGCTTAGGTGCTTTCAAATTCTGTCGTAAATATTCATTTTGACGTTGAAAACCACTCTGTCTCAATTGTTTTGATTGCTCTTATCTATATAAAGAGCCAATTTCCACTACAAATTGATAGGTTCATTTAAGTCAATCAGCAAAAACCTCAAACTTTGTTTTGAAAAGTGTCACTCCAAGCTTAAAAGGATATTTTGTACTCTTCGGAACTGAATTTTCTTTATGACGTTCATCACTTCCTGGGTAACACTGCAAAAACGCGAGGTAGCCATTTTGAAATTAAGCGCTTCTGTTGTAGTCACCTCGCGCGACGTAATCAGAGCGAGATATGACGCAATCCTCCACCAATCAGAGCTCGCACATCTCTATAATCACCGGAGCAATTATTACTAATAATTGTTTTTCTTTTTCCTAGCATATTGGGGATCTTGGGCCGAGCATGTTCTAGAATGGTGGAAACACAAAGATGACGAAAATGTTCTGTTTCTCAAATACGAAGATATGAAGAGGGTGTGTGGTCTCATTGACAATTTTTAATTTTGTTATAGTTAGGCGAGTTTCTGGGGACTTATATTGGCAACCTTCTTCTAGTTACTCTGCATGTTCGCAAGAGATTCCGCAAATCAAGACACGGGTACCTCCTCGCCTGTTCACCCCCCGCCCTTGATTCTCTCCAGATATCTCACAGCATTTCCTGGTTTTGGAGACTTTTACCCCCCCTGAAAATTTGAGCTTATAGCCTTGAAGCAAACTGATAGAAAGCATGCAAATATTAATTACGCACCCATTACAATTGCCATTCCTTGCTATCAATGTGAGGCTTTTCTTTTCATATATTTTTGTCGGCTTTAGCTAACAGTTACGTTCCCTCCATAGCTGGTACGGTGTTCCCAGTTACTGGAATTCGTTTAGTAATAGCTGATGCGTGCATAGTCCAAACTTCTCAACATTAACTAAAAGTTTGACTCAAAGTTTATATTTTTCAGGACCTACCTTCTCAAATAGGCTTGATAAGTAAGTTTCTGAGCAAATCCTTATCAGAAGACATGGTCGACCGCATAGCTAAACAGTGCACCTTTGACGCCATGAAAAATAATTCATCCGCTTACTGGATGATGACCCGTGATGGCGAACTACCCAACTTCCTCAGGAAAGGTCAGGTTGGAGGCTGGAAAGATTACTTTACTCCCGAGTTGATCCGGAGGTTTGAAAAAGAAGTGCTGAGCAGACTGGATGGTTCTGGACTCCAGTTTGATTTAGGCCAATGATATCAACTGTTGTTACTACAGAGCATGCGTGGATCACTTTGGAAAATCAACTACAAATATGCGCGTACGTGCCAGTCTGTGCTTTGTAATGCATTAGTGTGTTTTTCTTTCGATTGGTTGAGGAACTTTTTTTTCGACAAATCGGTTACCCCGCTTGTAAGACCTCTCATCACCGTCTTTTCAACTGGCTCTCGTGTTAGGATTGCGACTTTTATTGAAAGCCCTGTCTGTGGCACAGCGTCGGCGGGGTAAGGGGGCGGGGATGGGGGCGGGGATGGGGGTATTACTAGATGATTGATTTTATCAACCGAGTTGATATGAATGCAAATCAGTGGTCACCGTGGCCAATTCACATTGTCAACTCCTTCAGATAAACTTAACTATCTCAATTTCAGATACAATGAATATATCAAGTTCATATATTTTGAACTGCGGTATTAGATACGTATGATTCACGATACTCGCAGTCGAGAGCGCTATTTATGCAATAGCGAAAATCAGACCTGAAAAGAAAAAAAAAAAAAAGAAAAAGAAGTGCTGCATAAATAGCGCTCTCTACTGCGAGGATCGTGCATCATACGTATCTCAATTTCATACACCCAGGTAAATATCATACATGATAAATTACTGACTGTCGTCAGTTTCGAGGCTTTTATAAAGTTTGCTTTAGGTAATAGTCCTTTTCACAGTTGTGGGCTTGGTGGCCAAGCCTTTGAACAGGAGTGAGGCTTTAGGTAATTCAGTCTGAGCAGATTGTGGTATTCTTATATATATCGTTATGCTAAAAGAACTTTCAAGAAGAGGCGCTAAAGTGAGGCAAACTCTATTGTTGACAGAGGTGCAATAATGATAATCATGATAAAATAAAATGAAAAGAAAAACCGATATTGTATTTGGTATGGTTGTCTATCTGAGAAGAATTCATAATGTTACAGTCTCAAGGCCACCTCTCAAGTCTAACAGTAGGTGCCAGAGCTGTCTCATTTTAAGATACGAGTCGGGAGTGGGCTTCTTTTGCTCAAGTCCTACTCATTCACCGGCTTATACTTTCGACCAAACTCTTATCAGTGTAACAAGCTGACAAATTAAGTTGAGAAGATTTGGGGAAACTGACAATGGTTAAGAAGGAGTAATTGACTTCGTGCTGGATCTTTCGTATGTCCATCTAAAAAGGAAATGAAAACAGATGTTGAGACACTACTTACCAAACAATTATTTTTGAGGATCCTTTTGAGAGAGTAGTCAGTCTGACGAAATTGAATCGATTATAGAGTTCTTTTGTCATTGATATTGACAAAAAAGGTTTTAATTCTTCATTGATATTACAGTTATTTGGCGTCATTCTTTGGTTCTTCTTTTATGCCTAATAATGACATCAAAAATGTAAATATCTTCCCGTAATTAAAAATGGCGTTAGAAATTTCTAAATAAAATAAGCACTTTCATAAGCTTTAACATCAACTCTCTTTTCGGTAACATTTAAAGCAGGTTCTCAGTATAAAACGGTGCCAGGCGAAGTAACCCACACTTAAACTTGAAGAAACACTCGCAACATTATTGCTGTCACGCCGAATTTCGTGTTTCAGTACACGTGTGACTCGCTCTTAGAATAGTACAAGGTTCGTTATCTGTTGTGCTGTGGGTTTTATCATGAGCCAAATTCACGAGAGACCATGCTGAAGAAATAGAATGAAGAAAGAAATACAGCTCTACAGGTTTATATGGATTTGTCGCTTGACAAGGGCTTTCTCTGGCGAATTGCTCGCATAGTTTACGATTACGATTGCGATCCATTAATCATTTCCGGTAGGTGTTATTATTTCCATTTACAATCTGATCCTAATCATGCAAAACCCTCTACTTCTTTTCTTACTCAGCAAACAAAAGAGTCATTCAAGCTTTTTTGATCGAGCAATTCAAGTCTTTTTTCCTCTTTTGTTTCATTGAATGTTTCTGGTTGAATAGGATGAACGAAAGCCGCCGGAAGTTACTCTCAAAAGGCATGGCACGTAGAATGTTCGATTGAAACATCTAAAATATGAAATCAATGTATTTGAATATGCGATGAATTCGGCAAGGCGATTATTCTAATGAATCAGTTTCGTGTTGTCTTTGGAGCGGTGATTGATTAATCCAACTTTTTGTTTGCGGAGATATTGTGATTCTGTGATAAAAATTTCGCGGTAAAAGAAACAAACACTGGGGGCTTGAATACTTTGGTCTGGTCACGAACCAATCAACCAATTATTTTGCGTGGTCTCAGTCACGTGGCATGTAAATGATATGATCGTTGCGATGAACGCAAAAAATGGCGTCTGAAAACTGCAGTTATTGTACTTTCAGGTAGTAGAGCCAAACACTTGAAAATCCGTCGAGTATTCCACAATATGAGTTTCTTGCTTTGGAAAAGAAAAGGTAAGCATAGCGATTTTGCTCGTAAAATTTGTGCTATACGCAATAGCTTTGCTCATATTCTGCATTTGCGCGAATTCTCTTGTTGTACCCACTTGAAATTGTCCTGATTCAAACACAATCCAAGTTGGTCTAATTAATTAAAAGAAGGGTAGTTTTTTTATCGGGAATAAATAGTATTGTAGATGGAAGATCACCAAAGTATCGGTTAGCGGCTGATGTCTAGTTGCCTGAAAATTATTTTGCCGGGAATCCGGATTGTTTACGATCGAATCTGTTGTGATTTCCTTTACCGTCCGGTAAAATACTCTATAGTTTCCGTACCCGAATATTTTACACTTTGTTACATGGATGTAACAAACTTTCAACCGCATCAGAATTTTCAGTATGACCACCTGAAGTATCACTTGTCTGTTTTCCCCATTTCAGTTTTCTTGTTCTGTTGTCTGTGAAATGTTTTAGCTCATATTTCTCCGTTACGATAGCATTCCCATTGCGAAGGTCAAGTTTTATGTCTTTGCGTTCGTGACTGTTTGAGGTTTCACCATAACGATCGATTAAATTTCTGGTCGCTTAGTTTGAGCTACAAGGGAAAGATATTTGACCAGTTTGTATTCCTAATTTTCTATATTGAATGTTTTGTGAAAAAACGATATTTGTACATGTAGCGAGAAAACTTCTTTGAAAGCGTGAAATTTCCTAGTGCTCCTCTCAAAGGAATTTCTTCACAGGAAACCAGTAACTTTGAACGTTCGTCTGTGGGAAATTGAAACGTAAGCCTAGGTAGCGTTGACGTTTTTGTGGTTTTTGATTATATTGTGGAAATGATGTGGGTTGGAAAGCTTGAAATATCGCTTAATAATAGGGAGATTTTGGTCCAGATTTCTGAGCTATTGTCTTTCATAGGCTCATCACGGCAGCAATTTTTGTGATCAATTGTCCATTGTGAGTTTATTTTGTGAGGTTTATTATTTTCCCACCTGAACAGACAGAAAAGCATTCCATTTATCACTGCTAGCCATACACGCACATATGATCTGAGTAATGTTACACATTGTTGAATGACAAGAATTTTGACTTTTGGTCTGTCTTATTTGCCTGCAAGAACAGGTTCATAATTGTGTGTGCAGCCATTAAAGATATTTTTTTGTGTAAGGGGTTTGAAAATGATGTACACAAGTAGGTTTTTTTAATTTTTAATAATTTCTTTTTTGTCAGCATTTAATCAAATCAGAATGGTAAAAGGAAAATTTAGAGCCATGTCTACTTTGATTTATTGGAATAAAGGGAATTATTCCCAGGAGAATGTTAAAATGTTCATGAATTTGTTTTTGTGTTATTGATAATTTCAATGCCAGCAAATGTAAGATGAATTAAAAAGTAAATGTTTTCTGTACCCTATATATATATTATATAGATGAATGGTGAAGTGCATGTGCCAGATTGAGGATCATGTGATCAGTTGGTGTAATACATGTAGTTTCTTATAAAAATTTGTTTTACAGTTTGAACCTTTTGAACTTTATTGCTTTAGCAGTATTTTCAAAGTTCACCACTGCAGTGATGATTTTGAATATAAGCTAGATTGTGTTTAGTGACCAAAAACACTTTAGTTAGACAAGATTAGTTGTTAGGAATTTTTTCAAGACATGTACATGTATTTATTGTTTTTTTCAGCCACCTTTTAAAGGACATATGAACATGAAGAAAAATGAAAAATTGTGGAGTGATCAACTGTATTATTTTTCCCAGGGAAAATGATCTTGACACACCAAGCTTGTTTAATGGCAAATGGATAAAAGTTCGTGAACATCAACCAAGGTTTTGATCTAAGCTTCAAGATGAAGGACGATGTCAAGGTTGAGAGCAGTGGTGGAACAGAAACAGCTGCCACTTTTGAAGTACTAGTTTCTATGCCAGACAGAAAAATCAAGGTTGGCAGCCTACATTGTATTTGTAAAATAATGTACACTCTTTGATTTAACTTAAGGGTTAGTTTAGGATTCAAGTCTGGGTCACATTCGGTACTGTAGCTAGCATTTTGAAGCTTTTGTTTTCCTTTCCTATGTTTTCAAGGTTGATTCAATGGTCTCTGGCTGTTTTTTTCACAGACAGGGTGTTCTCAAGCAGTTTTTTGTGTGCATTGTTTGACATGCTTGTACTCTGTCTTTTAAATCTGTTTGGTTGTGTTCATTTTTAATTAGAATTTTTGTTCTCTCCTTGGTCTCCCTACAACTTTTGTTGTTCAAATTCTGTGATCGTTTTGTTATTTTTTCATGGGTTCTACCCTCACCAAGTTTTAATTTTTTGTACATTTCATTGTATATTTAATACATGTACACTGTACTAGTGCTTGGACTGAGGCTGGGTTTGGTGGTGTTTGTGTTAAAGTTGTGGGTTGGGTAGGCTAATGTTGGCTGTCCCAGTAGTTAATATTGGCTGTTCCAATAGTCTTGATTTGGGTTAGTAGTACTAACCTAAGACTCTTCGGCATTAATTCTCCATTTGTGACACATATAGGTATTAATATTATGCATTGCATAGCCTTAGCTTAGGGAAAGATTGTATGCAGAGGTCTACCTGCGGCTTAGTGCCCATTTAGAGTATAACCATAAAATTTTAAAATTTCAATTATCTTATTTCCATGTGGTTTGATGTTAAGTTTGTGTTTACTAATAATTGCTTTTTCAATATTGCAGAAACTTTATCATTTTGATGTTCAGGACAAAGTATGGAATGCAAAGTTAAATGTGATTAATGATTTAATCAAGGTAAGAATACATGTACTTGTAAGAAACTATAAATTGCCAGCCTTCTTTTAAGAAGCTGACATATTGTACCTGTATGTCTCCTCCTATTATCATAACTCTTTTTCTGGTAATTTTTTTACATTTCTTTTAAAAAATTTTAGATCACACAATTATACTACATAGAATCATGATTTTCTGTAATAGCAGCATGCAAGGGGTAATTTTTTGAAAATAAAACTGTGGAATCAATTTATCAACATTTTATGGAAAGGTTATTGTCAGGAAATAAGAACTAAAATGTAGGAAGGGGAGGGGGGGGGGAAGCCTCCTCCCAACTTGCATTTCATCCGGTGCCTTCTTCTATGTGACCACACTAGGCTAAACATTTTTAAATTTAATCCTTTGGTTTCATTGTGTTTATTTTAGAATGTGAAAGATGCTGTGAACTATGGATTCTATGACCCACCATGCAATGGAAAGTCTGGCAAGTTTCTTGAAGAAGAAAGATTATTTACTGATTATCCTTTATCAGGATCACCTCCAGTTCTTGAGGTATGCACTGACATATAATAAAAGTAATTACATAATAATTATTCCTACACTTATGACTATGATTATTTGTACTTGTTGGAGTGTTAATTGCGGTTGTCATCTAGGCTGTCTTGGAACCTTCAGACTGGCCCTCTGAAGGGGTGCGGGAAAAAAATGAAAATGGTGCACTTTTTTGGAGGCGAATTGTGTGGGAGAAAAAGTTAATTGTGCGGGATTGCGTAATCTTGCGTCGAACAAAATATTTTGTATCCCACTCCCTGTTAATGTAAACATCGGGTTCTCCTCATAAATCATACCTTTTCTTGTAATATCAAAGTGAAATTCCTCCTGCAATGGCTAAATGACTTCTAGATTTTACTTTGAATGATTTTTATCTTATTGACTGAACCTTAGAACCTATTTTTTTGAAGCAATTCTTTGTTCGTCAAAGCGAGCGAAAGAGCTAAACGAAAACCCTTGAGGAGATCGCCCCATAACTTGAGTTTGCCAGTAAAAGTTACTGTCAATGGAAGCCGTGTTTTCTTATTCCACTATGATTTATGAAAGTCTTAATATCTGACAACCCATTCGTCCTGTAAATACCAAGAATAAACATTCCTTTTTTTTCACTTTGAATGAGTAAGCCACATTGCCAGCGGCCTTATTCATCAACACCTCTGATTCATTATTTGAAAAGCATAGGCACAAATTGCCAATGAAAAATAGAGTTAGAAGTAGACTAGTGCCCAGGAAAGTGCAGGCTATGGTAAAAACGCCTTGTTGTTTGAATAACGCAATCGACAAGTTGTTTGATGAAAGCGTGGAAATGCTAGTGTTTTTGAAGGTAAATAGTCTGAAAATAGTCTAAAATATTCTAGAAATCTTGATACTCAACAGAAATACCCGTTTTGATTGAAATTTCAAATAAAAATTTCCATATTGTGTGGGATTTTGCGAATTTTCATGGATTGTGTGGGATTGTGCAGGTTTGACCAAATTGTGCGGTTCCGCACCCGCGCATCCTGTCAGAAGGCCTGTTCAGATGAGGTTTTTATATAGAAGGAAATAAACAAGTGAAGTAGATGCTATCAGAAATTAGGACTTGCTGGGTATCAAGTTTATGGTTAATCATGATTAAATCTGTACTATATGACATGATTTTGTGACAGTTCAAATACAAAAGAAGAATTTACCGTTCCTTGGTATATGAACAGAAGACTCTACAAAAAGTAAATGTAAAGGTAAGTGAAAATCTAGTGTATTAATCCATCTACATGTTGCTAACTCTGCTTAGTAATGCCTGCTGCAATTTAAGGCCCCCATTCAAACCAGCTCACAGCTGAACTGGACCAGCCTGGTTAAATATTGCTTATAAATAAGTGAAAGTATACTTTTGCTCATTTACAGTACATTTTAAAGGGAAGTAGATTGTAAAGTAATTCTTACATTTTAGATTTGTTTGCATTTCTGGCCAGACATTGAATTGAAACAAATCCAAATCAACTAATTGGTTAGCTTGTGCTCGTTAGCTTTTGATCTTTGATCTCCTTCTACAAGGCAAATCAGAAGAAGTTCTTGGAGCTGGTCTCCTCTGGTGCAGTTAGCCAAGTGGGAAAGATGGCTGAGAAAGGAATTGATCCTAATTTTCATGATGATCGCACCGGAGGTAACAAATTGGATTATACTTGGACAAGCTTTGTAACAGTGAATATGTACACTGTATCTGTATCTTTTGTTTACATCTTATACTAGTATACTTGATAGATAACTTCATTGTATAGAATTGGTCTTTGTTACAAGATCCAGTCTTTATGGCAGTCATCTTGTTAAAAAAAAAAAAAAAAAAAAAAAAAAAAAAACTAAAGGAGTAATGGTAAACAAAACCAGAAAAAGTGAATTTAATATAAATTAATATAATATAAATTTAATATAAATTAAACAATAATTAATTGTTAGTAGTACCAGTGAAACATCTTCAGTTAAACATTTGAATTTGATTTTCAGAGACACCACTAACGGTAGCTGTGACAAAAGAGAATGCAAGGGAAATGATAGTCACCCTAGTAAATGGAGGAGCATTGCTGGACTACAGGACACACGATAGTCAGACTCCTCTTCACAGAGCAGCAATAGCTGGAAAAGCAATTTCTGTCAAGGTAACTTGAATTTCCCTCCTGTTGAATTAGTTTGTGGTACAGTTATGTATTGAATAACATTATTGTTTTTTTTTTTTTTTTTTAGACCCTTTTGGATTTTGGAGCATCACCAAACTACAAAGACTTGAAAGTAAGTACAAGTATGACTGAGTTTTGATGTGTCTTTCCTGCAGTAGGGCTCTATGTTTCTAGTAAGCTTTCTTAACTTGGATTTGGTGTATTTTTCTCAGTTAACGAGTGACTTTGTAAAGTATGATAGTATGATAGTGAGTCAGTATCATAGAGAATAAGAGACCCCTGTATTTGGCCAATGTACCTTCCCACATCTCTAATTAGTTGGTGCACGAGAAGGGCACAAGAAACCTGTCCAAGATATGAATTGATTTTTATCATTGATGTTTACTCTCTGCAGGGCCTCACACCATTATTCTACACAGCAGTTTATGGTGGGGACCCATACTGCTGTGAGACTCTCCTTAATGATCAAGCTGAGCTGCACACTGCTGACCATCAGGGCAAGCAGGAAATACACTTGGTAAAAATTGCTATTTTATCTAATATACATAATTGTAGTGAATGTCACTGATTTTTATGTGCACAAGTCGTTTACATATGTTGGTGTCCATCCCCATAGATTTCACTGAAAGCCACTTCATTGAAGTTTGACTTTGAGAGGTTTCAGTCATGAATTTTTTCTAATTATTCCATTGTGGCCAAGTAGTACAGAATAATTTATTATAATATAACCAAAGTAAAATGCGCACTCTGATTGGTCAATTTAGCGTCCCCCATTTGCCCATGGGTGTACGCTGCTGACATGAGCAAATGCAAAGACTATTTTTCCGTGCGGCGCTTGTTTTTTCTGGTCACGTAAGATTTGTTAAATAAAAGGGAACTCTTCAGCTACAATGTATAAATGTTATGTTATAAAAAAAATGGTAAACACCACAGCGTACACTATTGAGTTATGGATGCACTTGGGAGGTTTGCTAAGCACTCAAGAAGCTAGAGTCGCTCTCGGCTATCACCTCGAGCGACTCTTACACTTCTTTCGTGCTTAGCAACCTCCCGCGTGCATCCATAACTCAATAGTGTATGCTGTGGTGTTTACCATTTGTTAAATGTATACCCATCCTAGATATCGTTGAACAATACTACCATGACCATCATCTGGTTGTAAACATTTCCCAGTTTTTATGGTTAAAATTCTAATAACACTACAGTTGCATGGAAAGGAAATGACTGAATCTTTACCTTTTGTAGGACTCAGGATTAGGATTTATAGTCTTGAGAGCAACATGATGTTATCAACATTGTAGAAATTAAAGGCTCAGTTGGAACCTTTGCTTATTTTTTTTTTGAAGAGCTACATGTAAGGTTGTTGGCATGCCCTTAATGATACTCTACATGCATGGCTTCACAGCAGACTTTTCATGTAAAGGTGCACAATGTACATGACAGATCTGCAGTGGTCTATAGGCTTCATGAGGTGTGATAATGATCACATACATTGTATACTGTATCCTTTACTGCCACATCAAAAGGACTTGACTGGAATTGTTTGAGTGCATTCATTTCTTGATTTGAATTTTTTTTTTTAAATTTTCTTACTAGGCTTGTAAAAATGGGCTTGTTCAACACTTGGAGCACTTGCTGTTTTATGGAGCTCAGATTGATGCTCGCACTGCATCAGGCAACACAGCATTACATGTGGCTGCTCTCAGTAATCAGGTACTCATGTCAAAAGTAAACTTTACCAATTGACATAAATTTGATCTGGTACTGTAACTTGTCAGGATCCAATTGGTTCACCACTGGTTTAACAGTCATTAGCTGCCAGAAGTAACTCTAAACATACATGTAACTTTTCCACCCAGATATAATTAATATTAACCAGTTAACAGATGATAACCGTAGACTTTGACTTACCAGCTGGAGGCTGTCACCTTTATATACATGTAACACCAAATTTCCCCAAATGATTCACAGTGAAAGATGCAGGAGTTCTTGGGGAGAATTAGAAATTAGATGTGAAAATTATACTTAAGAGGTTTCAATTGCATGCATGGCCGCAAATAAAAGTGGATCATTGAGCTGTAGCTGGGGAAAATTGATAATTATATGTTTTTAATTATTTCGGTCGGCTATATTCATGGGGTGTTGCTATAGTAATAGATATTGCAAAATACGTGATTAACATGTCAGTACAGACATTCTCATTTATAACGAATTAGTGTAGATGTACACGCATACATAGACTAATTTGTCAACGTACAGTAGGTCAGAACAGAATCAGCAACTTTTCGTTTGTTTTTAAATTACTAACAGACAAAAACCAACGACTATGTAGATTACACAACGTATAATTAATTTAAATGAAAAAACCGGAATATAAAATTAAAAGAGTCACAGTAGATGCCTCATATTAAAGTGGAATCAGCGCAAAACAATAACGCAAAACTCCTCACCACAAAACTAGTTGCTTTGTAAGAAGGTTGTATAGTAAACCATAGCATGAGCGCAGTTTTCTTTTGCAAAACAACTGAGTTTCATCAAGCAGCAGGGCCCTCTGCTGATTATGTTCAATAGGCTTTGTTTTGAACAATGCTCAACCGTCTGTAAGGGTTTGCTTTAGATCGCCACTTGAAACCGGTTGTCATGTCTTTTCTTTTCTTTTCTTTTATACGAACACTTAGCGGAAAAGGCGATGCAATAAATTTTGGATGAACGAGTGATATCATATGACCCAAAAAAGCTATTATGTACACTGTTGAGTTTATAATTATTTAAAAAGAGTGAATTTTGACAAGAGGTACAAGTTTTTCCTTCTGAGCAGCTGACTCATCCACAATTTCTGACATTGTTTAGACTAGTGGCATGTTTGATGTTACATACACATTAACGAATAGACATGAACGTGTCGTATTTCAATTAGCAAACGTTTTGGAACACCTGAATCACAAATAATGTCACCAATGAGTTTGACAGTGTTATTTTAGGAGAGTTTCATTGTATATTCATGCATATGCAATTGACTGCAGCAAATGTATTCTTTAGGAAATGCTTCGGTGGTCACGTCACTTTAAATCCAACCAACAAGAAATATTGAAGGTTTGAGCAGGTTATCAAGCCACGTGTGCGATAGGAATTTACCATAGTCGTACAAGACTGTTGTGGTTATTAAGCTTGAGTAGATGTTAGGTAATGTAAAATCGATAGATACTGCTCAGAATCAGTTTACAAAAGTTTTGTGGCTCCATCAAATGGATGCAGCCTGGGCCGTTTAAATCCATTTTGTTTAGAGGTTGTTGGGGTATTCTGTTTGCACAGGTACCGCACTTATCACTTATTTGTATAGATGTAGTTTGTTTCGCATTTGAACGCTAAAGTTGATGGGGTTTTCTTTTATTCATGAAGGATGAATGCGCCAGAGTTCTGTTGTTCAGAGGGGCAAAGAGAAATATCTTGAACTATGCCAACCAATCTGCATACGAGGTAAGACAATGATTAAGATGTTCTTGGTGTAGGTATTCGGATTATGAACTATCAGTTCTTATTTGTTGTTATCACAGAGAAAATCCTGCGGAGAAAACCTAGTTTGCATGACGTTTTGAGCCAAAATATAGACAATTAACGTGTAATTTGATCATTGTGGTTAGGGAATATTTTTGAATTAATACCGCGGATATTTAAGCATTTATTCCTGTAATGTTTTAAATTTAATGCATAGAAAGTGAAGGTACCATTTTCTTGGTATTGAATGATGCAATGTACTATTCCTATATTTTTTAATAAAAGGTCACTGATATTTCGAGGAAAGTATTTATTTTAGTTCGCGTGACATTTGGTTAGCTCCTAATGGTCTATAAATTTGCATATTTCGACGGAACACTAATTCCCATCTTGATGTGCTGCTATCGTGTTACGCGACTTGTTATGCGGGTGGAAGCAGTATATTTGGACATTTTATCACTACTTAATGATTCTAAATTTCCATCAATTTAATGGCATAGTCTCAGAGAAAACATTCAAACAGGTAACGTATCTCAGAGTTTCTGTTTCGTGAGACTCATTCGTTTGACATTCTGAGTTCCCGGAGGGTCAAACTTTGTGAAACAGAGTTTTGTTTTAATTTCAAAGATGGAAGTGAGTTGTTAACAATCTCTTGTAATATTGCCAGGTGCTTTTACAACTATCAGTTCCGTTTTAATGTTAAGAAACCGACCTTTATTTTAAAAGTGGATTTTTTGGGAGAGAGAAACAATTTTCATTTCTGAACCTGGTAAAGTTCGACTTTTGATAATGCTTGTTAAGCGACTTTTTTAAAATAAGTTGCATTGGTTTCGGGATAGGTATGAACTATTGTTATCTTGGTTTTTGTTAGTTTGTACTGTTTTTTGGATACGCACGTTTATGTTTTCTCTGCCAGGTGGCACAAAATTATTATTTAGACATGTTATATTGTCATGTTCTAAAGGAGACCCAATATCTTGTGTTCCGCTGAATAAACTTTGATAAAGATTCCAGAATTTTCAATTTATGGCATTGTCTGAAACCTTCGCGTCTGAGCCTTTTTTCAAGTCCCGTAAAACGTTTTGGCAGGAGATAGATAAATAGAAAGATTTCTCTAGATAAGTGGGCTCGTCTTAAAGCCGGACACAGTTGTGACTTTATTGAAGATTTGTTTATCTGCGATTTTGCGTTTGTTTGTTTATTCCTTCTTTGTGTTCAATTCATTCTTGGTATCAGACATAAGCTGTTAAGTCGGTGTGCTTGCAAAGAACAGAGATATACAAGGCAAATATTAAGTTGAACAACGATGTAAGTTATCGTTTTCGAGAGGGCTTTCTTTTGGATAAAGCCCTCACACCCCTTCTACTTGTTCTTGAATCGATTGTTCTCTAACTGTTTTCTTATTCACTTAATTTCCCATATTGCCTCGCTAAATACAAAGGTTTTAATTAGTTTATTTATAGATGCTGTCTGTTAGTGGCGTTTGAAAAGTCAATGCTGCGGCCAAATATAGAGTTTGTATTCGTGGCGCGGAACCTTGAATCTGCAATATTGAAAGCAAAAAATGAGTCATAATTTATCATTTGATTCTTCAAGGTTGCCGCTGTAGGTGGGAATAAAGAGATTGCTGAGTTAATAAAGAATTTCAGTGAGAAGGATATAGGTATGGCTGCTTATATTGTAAATTAGTACAGTGAAAAATTTTAATGGGTACTCGTCTTAATGGTGTCACTTTGAGTAGATTCTTCAGTGAACTTTCACCGATAAAATTTCTTTTTTTTTTTTTCAGTCAAATTCTCGGGAAAACCGAACTACAGCACCCGTCGTCGTAAATCTGTTTCCAAGCCGAAGGCATCGTCGTTGTTTTCTCGGACACCTTCGGAAACTCAATTGTCTGTCAAGAGCGACTCGTCGCCGCCGTCGCCTGGTTCGTCAATACACAGTCTTCCATCTACCACGGCCTCAGAAACAGCATCGGTCGACGAATCCACCGTAACAATGAATGGCGATACCGAAATCCATAATGGATCCCGCATGAATCTCAATAGAACTTTATCAGCGAGTTCCACGGCGTCTGACTCTTCGTACGGTTCGGAGTCAGACTCCGGCGAAATGTCCCCACGCGACCATGAGAAGCGGAAGAAAAGAAGATGGCGTCAGTATTCAGAGCCAAACATCGCACAGAAACCTGCTGTACCACCCGTTAAGGCAGTATCCGGTGCAGCAACAATACGAAAACGACTCTACGCTAGCGTACCTGGTAGACGTTTTGTGGCTATTAAGGATTATAGACCATTAATGGCTGGAGAACTGGCGCTCGAGAAGGGCGATGAAGTGGAAGGTAGGTGGCGTAATGGTGGAATAGATTACTTTTAGATAACAGATATGTAGTCACAGTTGTTTTCATCACAATCAACTGGTTTAATTGCACAAACTCACCTATGAACTGTCATACAATTTCGCGGTTTAAAACCGAACTTGAATGACTGTCGGATTTGATTAGTGATTCTGCCTTCAAGCGAATGCGGGAGGATCAGTGAGATATAAGTGCTTTTATTTTGGTGATTGTGAAACTAAAAATATGTAATTGCCAATATTTGTGCTATTATAAGAGATCTCTTGGGTGAAGTCTGTCAGATTATTTGTGTAAAGGCTGCTGTGATTTGTAGATTAAAGGTCAGACAGACTGAGATCTCAAAAGTAACTCGTTAGTCACATTTTGTGATACTGGACAGCCTGTGCTGTGTGCATAGCTGGAGAGTTGAAGAAAATGTTGTTCACAGAGATGTAATTACAAAAGAAGTCGAACTCGCTACAGTTATTACGTACATTGTGAGCTGAAACAAAATCTTCTAAATCTTTCACTTCTGACCTGCCTACGTCAATTGTCAACAGACAAGAAGCATTTGATTTCATCTTGTGCAAATGGGTATCATTGGAGATTGTAGTGCCAATCTGATTGACGGGAATTAGGATGCCATAGCAAAGTGTTTTCATAATTTGAAGTGCTTTTTGTGGCTTCACATTGTGTCGATATGTGTTTTAATAAGCTCGTTGTGTTTCCAGTTTTGTTCGTTGGCGAGAAAGGCTACTGGGAAGGTCGAGTGGGAAATTCAACGGGCTGGTTTCACCATTCATATGTCGAAGAAAAGAAAGGAAAAGGTACGTGACTCGGAAATTACTGATATCGGTTTATTCCTTTATCACAAGCGGTCCAATCTCACGATTTACTTCTCGCGTTTAGATCAATCCGTACATTATCTGCGTCTAGAAAAAACGAGAGAGAAGAAAAAGCAAAAAGAAAATCTCATGTGTAGACTTTTGTGGCTTGGTTTATGTGGATTTTATTTTCAGCTGGGTTTCCATGCAGGTGGCAGTATATATCAATTCAAAATGACGATTTGTAAAATGTATCTTATTAATTTAGTGTCAGTTGTTGTATAACCGGTGAGTTCTGCTCTGTGGCTGTTTCATGAATCGTCACGCAACACTCACTTCTAGAGTGTCGTGACGAGCGATAAGCGACTGGTTTGAGGTTCATGCTGTTTTGATTTGACCTGAAGTCGAGCCGATGTTTCTTACCTTGAATATGAAGAAGTTCATACTCAAATCTCTTCATCTTTCGTCCTTGTAATCAGGGAAACCCAGACCAAAGACGATGTTTGCGCGGCCACCGCCACAGGCCAAAAGGTTAGTACTTCATAAAAAACCTGCCATTCTGCACTGCGGGATCTTGGCTTCTTTTTGTGAGGTCTTGTTATAATTTGTTTCTCATCACTGGTTCGCTCAAAGTTTCTTTCGTCTTTAGCTCTCTTTACTCTTCACGAGACTCTTTGTTCACTCTGAAACTGTCAGCGACTTTTTAAAATGTTTTATACTTAGCAATAAAACCTCAGTTTGCGGCTTAGTCATAACAGTTTTATCTGTTTCTCCCTTCATTGCGAAGTCGAAAGGAGTCTAGCAAGTCATAGTGAAGGATTGTTTTTTTTTAAACTTGAAATATTTTATTCTGTCGCAACTGTTTCTTTTTCTCAGTAATTTTCAAGACTTGAACCACGTTGGCTCAAACAACTCTGCCAAAGCTCCTCGGATTGTAACTTTACACAGGAGCAGTGCTGGTTTTGGCTTTCAGATGAGAGGAGCCAATTGTAAGTTTACACTAATAATTGTCACTTACACCAACTTTTCATTGGTAGTAACGCAATCAGCTCCCTTATGTGTACTGTTACCAGTCAGTGTTGCGTTACCTCTTAAATTCCGGGTATAGAAAAAGAACCCCCATGGAATGTAAATATGATCTATGAAGAAACTAGTTGTCAAGGCCTCCACAGGGTATCTGACCAATGCTCTTCTTTTTAAAAAAATCAGAATTCAGAATCATTGTTTGTTTTGTCAAAATATGGCATAACTCGTCATGGCAACAATACTACACACCAAAACCTCCGATAAGATATAAATCTTTGAGTGCTTTTCAAACTTGCGATGGTGAAATTTCGTAATATTCTATCTCTATTATTTTCGTCTGCAGCGCAAGTTCCGCGACTGAATTTTGAGCCCACTGCTGAGTTTCCAGCTCTTCAGTACTTTGGAGAACTTGAAGCAGGTGGACAGGCAGACTTGATAGGTATAAAGGCAGGAGACTTTATATTAGAGGTCAGTATACGATTCTCACTACTGCAATTATATGCAAGTTTGCTGCCAAACGTGTGCAAGACGCGGGAGGTCTGGGTTCCCGCCAAGGCTGGGTCGTTGTGTTACTCTCGCAGTGCCTCTCTCCACCCAAGTTTTAGAATTGGGCACAAATTGTGGCTGTGTGTACCTGAGATTGATTTGAGGAAAAGACACAGGCCGAGTCGCGTTATGCTACAGAAACCGGTAACTCCAGTAGTAATGGGTCCCTAGGCCTCCAATACTTCACCTTGCCGCCAATCTCCATCCCCATCCCCTACCCCCTGACCTCGGAACCGCATGAAAATTCATACACCTAGCAAGTGTAGCTGCGTTTACTCTGAGAGGATAATATTTGGAAACTGTTCTGTGCTTTCTCTCTGATCATAAATTCTCATTTTCAGGTCAATGGCGAGGATGTGAGAACAGCGACGCATGGCCACGTGGTAGCGTTGATTCAAAAGAGTGGCGAGTTGGTTAATTTGAAGATAGTAACAGCTAAGAGTCCTGCGGTAAATGGAACTGATCATACAGATGGTAAAGGTATGTAATGCTTGTGTTAGTCACTCAAGCTCAATTCAGATGTTTTGTTCTAGACACTGTTATATCCCTAACATGATATCATGGCTTGTGATCTTTTAGGTTACAAACCTCCTCCACCTCCTCCAAACCGCGATCCATCTACAACGCTGACTCTGGGTCGGATGAGCACGCTTTCTTCCAGTCGACCCTCGCTTTTTGGTAAGAACACAGCTCTCCCTCTCTCAGCTGAACTTCCAACCAAGCAGTTTATGAAAGTTTTTTTGGAGTTGTACACCTCCGATTTCTGTAACTTGAGCCTTCAGACACCGGTTAATCGTCTTAAAAGTGACCTTTATTTTACTTGAACAGATAATGGGAGACGAATCGATTCTACTAGGTTAACCGCAATTAAAATTATTGAAGAAAAGTCCTCATTTTTAGCAAGTGTTAAGCTATGTTTTTTTACTTTTTGTCTTCAGGATATTAATTTATTAGAGTTGTTTTGTAAGGGCAGTTGCAAACGTCAGAGATTCAACTACACTAGATTTCAGTTTTGTTTGTCTTTGTTTACTAGCTTTGGATAGTCTTGAGTTTAAAGACAAAGGAGAAGTTATGCTCTACTGGAAGAAAATGGAAGGTTAAATCGTATACGAATTCTCCAATGTTGTTCTTTTCTCTCGGCTGTTTGCTCCCCTTTGTTATCAGTTTGTATGTGAATGCTATCATAAACTTTCCCTGAAGGGCTTGGTTACCTGAAATAATAAAGGAATTTATGAATAGAATGATTTCCTTTTCCACAGAGATGAGCATGGGTGAAAGCTTCGAAGAACCTACCAGTTACCGCGTGGACAGTGTCATTACAGTTTCAAAGGAAAACCGCTGGCACAGTCTTCAGCGGCAAAAGCCTCAGGCTCGTAAACCAGTTGGAGTTCAAATGAAATCGCAAACGTTAGTCAAACGAAGATCAAGTGGGGACCTAAAGGGCGCAGGAAAAATCGGTTATCAAAGAGCGCAGTCAGTGCACAGTATGTTACCTCCCGCATATGAATCTGTGATTGGTAAGCGGCCTCTCTCAGCTGCCGTACCAGTGGACATGCCTGTTGTGCCTGATGATCGCAGACTGCCGCGTTCAATGTTGGTAGATAACACCACGCTATCAAAACATCACTTAACGGCCAAGTCGACTCCTAATCTAGACAAACCAATATTAGATAATGGCTTAAACAATGGCTATGGCCCCCTTCCAATGGAAGTAAGACGTGAATCTATGCATGGACCGTATAACTACCATACTTTGGACCGAAACAAAACGAGAGCAGTAGGTTCTACCAAAGTGGAGGCTGTTGTTGCCACACCTGTTAAAGCCACCGTTGCTGCTGTGCAGAGCGCCGAGGCCAAGCCCGAGATAACAGTCGTAGCAACTCCAGTGGAAGTAGTCGAATCGACGCCGACAATCCAATCAGATACCCCGAGGGCACCAGTTAAAACTTCCAGTGAAGCCCAGGCTACAAGGAACAAGGCCGAGAAGCCCCCTGTTCCCCCTAAGCCACGAACTTTATCTGATGCTCTTCAAGAAGCTGTGGCAGCAAGAAATCAACGGATGAGTCGGAAGTCGTCTGCTCCGGAAATTGAGGTCCCATCGTCTGTTGTGGTGACGAATGCAAGAGGTAGAAGAGTAAGTACTCCATCAAAATTAAATCCTCGTAACATGGGGGATGCATCTCAGAAAGTTCGCAGCGACATAATGACGAGGCTTGAAGAGAAATTCACGGAAGACGATGGTCAGGTAGAGACGGGAGGAAGTGAACGATTCCATACGCTGCCTCGACAGCAGCAGAAGCCATACCGAATTAATAAAGAAAGTTCCATCCCCACCGCAGTGGATGACCAAAGCGATTCAGATAAGAAGGGACTTGTGATGGCTTCTTCAGATGATATCCTCCGTCGTTACACGTCTCCAACGCGTGACATGAATAGACAATCCTCTTTGGATGCCACGGAGGCTGTCCTCAGGAATACCAAGACAGGGAATGAGAATTTTCAGAGACAGTTGTCGGAACCAGTCGGCTTCGATCGTCAACCGAGGGCGCAGGCCCTTGTTAAACCGCCTGCTGTGCCATTACAACAGATACAGCTTGGTATTCGGGGCAAGCCTGCGGTTCCGCCTCCACCTTCTATTGCGCCGAATAAGGACATTCCCTCGACACCTGTCAGAAAGGGGGTGATCACAGCAGATGCGCTATCCGCTAAGAAATCAAAACTGAAATCTACAGCCAACGAGAACGAGATTTCTTCAAATGCAAAAGGAGCTTCGGCGTCAACGTCTAGTACATCGCCTAATCTTGCCACACAGCATTCAGACTTACTAGCAAAGGCTATAGCTGCGCGCGCAGCTCGCATTTCGACCCAGTCTCATGCAGACGCAGATTTGAATCCAGTAGGAAAAACCGAGAGTTCGTCTAGTTATGTTGGACAAACCGAGAGTTCATCGAATTATGTTGGTGTTCAGAAAGGGCCTTACCCGAAAGAACTGAATAATAACAAAATAAAATCTCCAATGGAAGTGAGAGTAGTTAATTCTCGTGGTAAACCCTCTCCTCCTGTCGCTCCCAAGAAGCAATTTAGTTCCCCAGATTTAAGGCAACGAAAATACAACGAAACTGAATTTACAGATCGAAGAAAGGCATCTTTGAACGTTGGTAATCACTCACCAAGAATTGGGGAAGAACGGTCTCTGCCGTTTGAAATACCTGCTCCGGTTTTGTCAGAGGAGGACAAGTCTGTCATGTTTTTAGACGAAGTCATTAGGAAGGAAGCGGAGAGTGAAAATTGGAGTTTGAATTCTTGGAACAGTGGCACAGGAAGCGATTCAAGCAGTGAGGTATTTGTTCCTCCGCCGGTATGGCCTGCGGAACAAAATAAAGACTCAGAAAATCTATTAAAGCCGTGGTACGAGTGTAGCTCTCAATCAGAAGAAAGTATACTTGCGAAAACCTCTGAGCCAGAGAAAGTAACAAAGACTATTACAACCAAGAAAGGTTTTCAGATTAAGTTGACTATTGAGTCGAAGCGAGACGACTCATCGAAAGTAGTGAGAACTTCTTCTCGTACGGATTCTAGTGATATGGATGTTTCCGAACCACTGACACCCAAAGTTGAGGAGTCGGCGAGAACTGTTTCACCGAAAGAAATGCTTTCAAACAAGGCGGTCCCTCAAGAATCCGATCTTGATGAGGAGTTAAAAACACCAGTAGCAGAAAAGGGAAGTGGGAAAAGTCGCTTTGAATTACCTCCACCGCCTGATTTATTTACAGACAAAGACGAACCATATGTGCTGCTAGATTCACCACCTCTACCTCCCCCTCTTGAATTTTCTCCGACGGAATCCAAAACACTGGTGTTTAATCCAAACGAAGATACAGAGAACAGAAATTGCGCCTCCCCATCGGCAGAAAGTGATGATAGCTGTAAGGTGAGTTTTATCTGTGAAGTGCATGATAAGAAAAGTATGAAACACGGATTTTGGGTATTGCATTTTTGCATACTTCTCTTTCACACGACAAAAAGAGTGAAAGCCTAAGTTCTTACCACAAGTTAAAATGGCTGACCAAACTGTATCATTCATAGTTAGGGCCCGACTATTGATGAGAACTACCCGGCTGGATCTTTTAATTAGTACATTGCCGAAATTATTTTAATCGTTGGAAAAAATAGAGAAAGGAAAGGAAAGCTTGTCTCCTTCAGACCACAAAGAAGCCATAGTCCTTAACCTCTTGGTGTCAGTCAATTCATAACTGAAAGTAACTGGTATATTTATAACGTCTGTATGTTTTATCTTTATCCAGGATTCGGTAACGTATTCGGATATAACGTCCATATTTGGTGGATATTCACGGCCGATGTAAGTATGAGTGGTCTGATATCTTACTGTTTACATATTAACTGAGGGAACGTAACTGAGACGTAGCGCTCGCTCTTCCTATCGGTTTATGGGCGTGATAACCAATTTAGAATGTTGGTTGAACATTCGAAAAGGCTCAATTATACGCCTTCGACCCGTGATATAGGAACTTTTCTCGTGTTCTCTCAACGTTTCGCGTGGGGTGTGACGCTTATAAACCAATGGAAGGTGCGGTCCTATCATTTATACGCGGCATGCTATTTATGACAGCAGAACACTCTGGTACTGAAAAACACTCCATTCAAGCTTAGACTGCTATTATCCTGTTTTTCTCTGGAAATCGAGCAAGAACTTTGGCGGAAAAGAGATTGGAGTCACGACCTATCCCGTTCTTGTTTAAAAGCCATTGTAGCGTTTGGTTTCCTTCCAAGCCCGGATGATCGCACCAGTAGTCTAAAGTAGTATAAATATGCTTGAACACTTTCAATTCAATTTCAGGTAGGATATGATCCACTGGAAGTGAAATATAGATGTGTTTGCCATTCGAGAAGCTCTCAGTCTGGCTGACAGTTTTCGTCACAGTGTTTCAGATAAATTCTTACTATGTATATTATTGTCGTTTAGGCAACCATTCTTGGAGAAACCAGTGCTAGACTGGGATTGCAACGATGTGTGCGGCTGGTTGGATTCCATAAACATGGCTCAATATAAAGAGACCTTCAGGGAAAACGACATCCAGGGAATCCACCTTCCTGAGCTAACAAAGGCTGAACTGCGCGAACTGGGAGTTAAGAGCCTGGGACATAGAATGACTCTGGAGAACGCGATAGCGAGGCTTTCTCAGCCATTGGAATCAAACTGTTAACTTAGCGTTGGCTTTTCTGGTTTCATTCTGCAGAAAAAACTGGTCCTAATTTTAACCACTTAGTGTATCTCGTTGGGAATGGCCTCTATTTACATCAGTGGTGCTGGTTGATATTTTGGACGATGTATACGGGCCTTCGCTCTTGCACACGATTCTTTGTAGAATTATAGCTAAATTTGTATGGAATTTTGTTGTTACATACGGCTGCCCAAACATTATTTAAAGCGTACATTTTTTCATGTAAATATTTCCATCAGTTAAAAAAAGGTCTTTTTTCATTTACTATTTTTCCATTCACGGATTATGGAGAACGAAATCTTTTCATTCGCATGTTTGCGTTCATTTTAACAAAACAAACTTGACCAAGCACTCGGTAACGTTTCTAAAAGTAATTTCATTTCGTTCAATGCTTCGTGGAATGTTGTTTGCAGGAAAAGTAAGTTACTGCTTCTTCATGTGCACGAACTTAAATGAAAAGCGGTCAATTTTGCATCAAATCATATCGGCCAACATGGGCCTAGTTTCCACACTAAGGCCCAGTCAGAGGTCGTGAGTTTAAAGAGATCGCCATCATTTCTTCAGTGTGGACAGTTCGCTGTAATAATTAATGGTCGAATAATAACTAGGAAATGGAAGTATAACGTATCACTCTGTGGCCTATTTTTCGCAATCGAACACCTGACGTCCTTAATTGTGGCTTCACTTTGGGGTGTATTTGTTAATATCATCAACAATCTAGACACATGTTTGCCAAACAGGTTATGTTATTTGGGTATGTGACGTATGGGTACCTAATGATGAAAATAAATTCACATTCTACTTTACCTTATTAGCGTGGACAGAAGGAGTGCTATGGACCATCGATCAAGGGTAGCCTTTTTAAACGTCCAAGGGTCCGTGGGGTATTTTCATATTCAGCATTTTATTATTTAAAAGTAGAGAAAATTGACTTGGATCCAAAATCAATTTGTCAATTCAATTTGCAAGTAGCAGTAGATTGCCGTTGAACGTTTTGTAGTCATAAATGAAATCGTTGTAATTACTGGTGATCAAGGGTTCCAAGTTGGGTAGGTCTTGCTCTTTAAATTTTTAAAGACATACTAAGGCCTGAGTTGTTGACTCCCTTAGAGTTTAGTATTATATTGTAAATGTTCATATCGTTAGACTTGCAAACATTTATTTTTGCATGCAATAAAATTCTGTATTTTTAAAGTACAGTGTGTCGCTGGTTCGGGGGCTCCTATTTACCATACTTAGAAAGTAAAAAAAGAAAATGATAATAAATCCTTAGTATCAGATTTATTAGAAAAGTACACCCATGATAACCATAGAATTTTGAAGCGTGGAGAGACTGTACAAAACTTGCCATAGTCTTTAAGGATCCGCCCGCCCGTCTCTTCTTTGTTTTCCCCTCCCCATCCTCTTTCTCACCCCCTACTCCCCCCTCCTCACATCCTCAGCACACACTCGCACTCACACAGAAATCCCCACGAAAAATATTTCGCCGAGTTGCTTAAGACGGGGAAAGGTGTATGTAAATAAAAGGAAGAACTCTTTCTGAGCGGATAGATGGGGTAGAACATTACATATTTCACTGATAGGAACCCAATCGAAGTGTAAATGGATTTAAAGTAAAATGATATTTCTTCTCCGGTCGAAATCAACTATTATCAATAATTTATACTTCTTCAAGCCTTACCTGTCTACATATTATGCTCTGTGTTTTTGACAACAGATCAAAATGATGATGAAGAGGGAAATTATCCTATGCCTTATAAAGAAACAAATTAAACGCTCCCAGTAAATAAGGGGAAAACAACACGGGAGGATTTTTAAAAACGCTTTGTGATTGACAGAGTAGTAATGATGTGGCTCAGTTGCATCCGGGACATTCGAATTGTAGGAGAGTTTCCATGACTTCTTACATTGCGTGTAAGTAATTTAGAAACTGCGAGAGTCACAGTTTTCAATTTGTTTTGGTTAATGTGTGGTGTTTTCCTCTTGAAATCCGCGATGAAAAATTTTATAGTATTTTCGCTTTCTGTTTTTCTCGTGTATAACACTGGATTGTCCTCGTCTGAGTGGTATTTTCCTGAAGAGAACCTTGGCAACGCGGACTCGCGGAATGATGGCGGCGTGGACAAGACGAGCTCGTCGAGCTCATCAAGTTCGTTCAGCTCGTCAAGCTCTTCGAGTTCGTCGGGTTCTTTTCATGAGAAAGTGGAAGAGTACGAGAAAAACACGGACGAAAAGGGAACGCACGAAGTAACGAAGATTCTCGAACGAAAGAAGCCGGAAGGTGGGAACGAAACCTCCAGTAGCAAGGTAATTGAAGTGTTTCGTTATCCTAATGGAACGATTCGACGAAAGGTGAAAAACAATGGACCTGCAATGAAGGTAAGCTACTGAATGACACGTCGGTACATGAAACATTTTAATCAAACTCAGTATCAGTTAGGAATTGGATTGCCTTCCATACATATACTTGTAACAGCTTTTTGTCTTCTGCTCTCTCATGAGGAAACCTCCATGTATGTTTAGGTGCGAACTTCATCTAAGACGTGGAGAAAGAATTGGATTCTGGATATGTACATGCACCTATCTCTTCCACGAATGTCTCAAAAAATTAAGGAAGGATTCGACTCATAAAAAAGAGAGAACAATTTGAATTAAGATCAGATGCAGGGCTTGACACTAATGGTCGCCAACTAGCCACAAGTAAAAATTCAGTTTTGGCTAGTAGTTTTGGATTTTCACCAGCCAGCTTGGCTAGTAAACAAACTAAAATTTTCATAACATCTAAGTTGTCATTAGCCACTTGACTTGTAAGTTGAAAAGCCGTATGCGTATTTTTCTCTTGAATAAAGGGTATTTAACGTAATTTCTACATTCAGTTTTCTTGCTACAAGACACACATGAATGCGGCAGACTAATTTATTAATGTTCCACAGAAATTGCATTCTGGACCTTGATTCAAACTTTCTGTTTTTTTCTTCCTTTATTTACACAATATAATTGGTTTTTCGTGATATTAGGCAGAATGTATCAAGAAGGATGACTGCAGTGCTGATAAATTCTGTAGCAAACTCAGTTATCAGTGCCAGTAATGCATTGATGGATTTGGTTGTTTTAATGATGACCAGTGCTGTGGCAAAAAAGTTTGTAAATTTGGCAAGTGTGAAGATGAACCAGGTAAGAAAAACGGTAAATAAATACAGTGCAGCTCATGGATAGGGTGACCAAAATATGTGCACTTAATCAACATACGCATGGTATGCCTATAAGATCAGACATTTACTATTCTTGACAGATGAGAATTTGTTTATATCCAGTTGAAACCTTTGTGTAATTAGTAGGTCTGAGCTAGCTGATTGTTTTCTCTCTCATGGAATGGTCAATGTTTGTTTCAAATAGGCATTATATTTGCAATGAAAAGTGATGGTTAAGCTGTGCCTATTACACTCTTCTAAGAAGTAATTCTAAAGGTCATAATGAAAATTTTTTTTCTGAATCAGTTTGTGGAGATGGAGTAAATATCAAGCAGTATAAAGGTTTTGGTTTTAATCACGAGTTTGTGAACATATCAAAGTTTTGAAATAGGATACCCTGACTTAAACATTTCATCAAAGTTTGTCATTAGGGGAGAGGTAAGCAAAAAGTGTGTTGTTTTGAAATATCTGTTCACAGGCTATCTTTTCCTTGACTTTTAAGAAAAGATTAACAGTGCCAAGTCAACCCATATAAAATAGCTTTCACTGATGTTTTCACAATTGTTTTGCAAATTTCATTCTATTGGACAGGCAGGATAAAATGATTGTCATTTCCAAAATTACACTTATTATTTAATGGCTCATTATTATTGAAATCAGACTTTCATTACAAAATAATGTCAAACCAAAGAAAAAGGTTGAACTATGACCCAAGGTATTTGATGGACCTCTTCTCTACCTACAACTGCTATAGGGCAGTATATACAGGGCAGTATATGCAGTTTATACAGGGCTAACCTCACGATTTTCCCTTTTCAGGATATATTTTTTACATTTGTGTTGTAGCTTCCTGAATAAATGTTATGTTATGTTATGTTACAAACTGAAGCTTTGGGCCTTTATTTAGTAAATTATAGTGGGTACATGTATATATTGCACAACTGTTTAAATCTTTTATTTTTAACTTTTTGTATTTTTAATATCCAGAGCATACAGGGCTGGCCAACTCTCCATGTGACGATGACAGCCAGTGCAAGTCAGGCCTTTTCTGCTCATGGCGTGTGTTTGAAGGAGGAAAGTGTGAAGACTTTAGAAGAGAGGGACAGTCTTGTAGCAAAGGGATTTTTTCAAGAAATCTACCAAGATGTGCTAAGGGTTTGGAGTGCAGAAGAACTGGGTAAGTTTGATTCTGACTGTATAGATACATGAGGGTTACATAAGTAAAGTACAATAGGTATTGTGATTGCTTAACATTAACCCATTCCTAGTCATATGGGTTTAGTCTACTTGCAGTCGTAATTCAACAAATATTTTTGCTTTTTGCCTGTTTATAGAAACGTGTCATACAGAATTGTCAGAAAGGTTTTGTATAAATGCATTGTAATACAAAGTAGGTGACTCAATTGTCATGCCTCCGTGCTGAAACTTGAGCGACTAGCTTTTAGTCAGAGTAGGCAGTGCTTTCTTCAGAATTAGACGGTGAAATGCACCAGCTGCCGGGTTATTTTGACAACCCTAATGTCATGTGACCCATTATACTTCAGCTTCATGTAAAACTGGATTATCTGATGATACTCCTCATATATCATTCCTCTGTTTAGAAACATGGCATCCAATATGATAAAAAAAAATTAATGTATTTTGCAATTAATGTATTTTACATGCATATATATGTGCATATGCACATATATATGCATATATATATATATATATATGTGTATGGATAATTATACCTCAAGATTTAGGTTACTTGAACTTTTACTGCAACTCTGAGTTTCATGCCTCTTGCGAAGCAATCGTCAGGCAACTGCCCGATTGCAGGCAACTGAGATTGCAACCTCTTGATCGTCAGGCAACTGCACGGGGAGTTGCCTGACGATTGCTTCGCAAGAGGCATGAAACTCAGAGTTGCAGTAAAAGTTCAAGTAACCTAAATCTTGAGGTATAATTATCCATAGCTCTAGCCCTGCTATTGAGCACTTTTTAGTAGATGATGATCTCATTCCGCTATTTTGGTTATGTGTATATATATGTACATATATATATGTATACATATATGTATGCGTATATATATGTAAATATGTTTCTCAAGCTTTGCTCTTGGAAAACTGTGTGCCTCTCAAAACAGACAACATCTGTTGACAAATATTTGAGCATATTTGTTTGCCAAATAAAGGCTACTGTTCTTTTATTATTGTTTTTCCACTTATAATGGAGTCTGAAAATCCTCCTTGCTTTTTAACATTTACTCTGCAAATGTTTGTTTGAGAATATCTTTGTATGCTTCTTTATTGGTTTCTGATATTGTCAGATATTGATATGGCATCTGTGAGAAAGTTTAAAGTTGAGTGGCAAACTGCAGGCTTCGTAAAGTGGGTTCCGTAAATTTAAAACAAAGGATTTTAACTTTTTCCAAAGCACATCTGCACCATGTGCAATGTACTTATCATTGCCCTGTCATACTTCCTTGGTGTAACTGTAGAGGAATTGGTACTATGTATCTTTTCTGATTCTTATGAAATTGTTGTCACCATTTTATCTGCAGTGGCTTCCCATTTTTCTCCTACAAGTGCCTGAAAGAAGGAAGTGTGCAAGATAAATCAACCAAATCGCCTTTTGATTGGTTTGATGATAATGATTTCTTTCTCTTCAAAAAGTAGAGCTGGTAGTGTTCTTTTCCCTCCTACTAAAAATTGGACTGAATACTCCAAGCAATCCTCAGAAAGTAGTTTTAAGAGTGTAAGGTGTGCCATGGTAATTGGAATTCTCTGATTAAGTATTAGGGGAATACCACTTTTAGTACACTGGTGATGTACAGCTGTAATTTGGTACCTGGAACTAGGAGTTAAACTGCTTTTATGAGCTACTTGAACTGACAGCAGTTGCATCAGCACCAAAAAGTGTGGTAACCTAACAGAAATGGCTCTTGCATAGAGAATTGGCTCTACATATTTCACAATGTTAGCTTCAAGTTTAAGAAACTTTATTTATTGTGACTTAGTGGTAGTTTATTAACACTATATGTCTTCCATGAAATATTATTAAAGATGTTTTTAAATGAGAATGGTTTTGAAAGGATGGTCTTTTTTGCTTTTCTATGTACTTTCATACTGTCAAGTCTGACACCCCTGCTTCACAAAGTGATTGTTGTTCTGTTTCATTAAACAATCTGACAGAAACTGTCTCATAGTTCCATCAAACCTGGGAGTGGAATAATGCCGTCGTCTTTACACAGTTACGTTTTGCCGAGGACCTGTAACACTCATAGGGTAACAATTGAAGACAGAACACGAATTTGCGTGTACTGCGCGCGCCGTACACGAATTTGCATGTCCTGCACGCGCAGTACAAGCGTGTTGCAATCCCTACGGTCGATTTACTCAACAGGTGAGAAAACAAAGCTCATAAAAGTGAGATGTGGTTGTGAAAATGACGGAAAACTTGGTTTCCGGCAACTGGTTGCTTATTACTTTAAAAAAAATGTGTTAGGGTTACTGAGACAAGAATAGTATATTATTTCCTATTAACTAGAGACATCTGTTGTGTTTAAAACCAAATACCATTTTAGCAAATTCAAAATGATGAAGTAATTGAAGAAGTGAACCTTCCATTTCCCTATTTCCTTAATAATTAATTGAAATCGCAGTTAGTAAATTGATGTTAATTGGGCTCAAGTGAATTTTATACTGTGGGTGAATCGATAATTCTCAATGTTTGCTGAAGCGTTCATGCAGGTTCACTGCAGGTAGACTTTTAACGTTTCTGAAATACTCGTATTGAATTAATTTTAATGTTGATTCTCTGAGTGATGTCGGGTTCTTATTTTTTGTTTCTTTAATACACCCTTCGCCAAAATCTTTGCTGTAGTCAAGGTGATGTTTTTATAGATTTCTAAATCTGAATGGGGTGAAAACCGGACTCCGTTTCTTTCTTACTTTCAGAAGGCAGTCTTTCGCGAAATAGTCGCGTAGCTTATTTATTTCAAATGTTGCCCAAATTAAATATTGCTAGCACTGCTAAAAGGGGAACCAACAAGTTTCAAAGTGCAATGGCTTTGAGCTCCGTCGATTGGCGATATGAAGAAATATCACTTGGACAAGAATAGACTAAAACTAAAATTCAACCTGCCCTCATGAAAACGAACTCTCGCTGTAATTTTATGATTAAGAAGTAGTTGGCCACTTTGCGCATTTATTTTGTCTTCATGTGAGCCCCGGTAGCCAAATTTAAAACTTGTACAACTGATTGATAGGAGTTATAATGAGTTTACTTCCGTGTTGCTGCTATAACAAACCCATTACCAAACTCACTTCGTATCGCAGAATCCCTGCAAATACTGCAGATCATTTCATAGAGAAAAAAATCCATCTCCATGACATCCTCCGTGAACTTTATATTTAAAATCTCCAATTACCCCCCATAAAAAGGAAATTACGCCCCGTTTGAGATAATATTTGTGAAATTATCTCAACGAATCAATAATTCAACTTTTGTCGACAAATTGCGTCAAAGCACGTGTTTTAAACTCTATTTAGATATTTGGATCCTCAAAGGTAAAACAATTATTTGAAGTCCAGGTGGTGCAGACTAGACTAGCCCCGTTAGAACCATAAAATGAATAAGATCGAAACTTTGATTCTGCTCATATCTGTATCCGCACTTTATACTGATGCCCACAAGGCTAAGAAGGAAGAACTCGATAAACAACAGAAGGCTGTCGAAGAAAACAATGAAGCTGAAGATCACGAAGCAGTAGGAGCCGAGTTCCCAGGCTTTGCCCTTCGTATTCCTATCCCTAATATAGGCGCTTTGGCTCACATAAGACAACAATTGGAAAATCTCTTTCCTGGACCCAAGCAAGCGGACTATAAACCTGGTAAAACTAAAACAACAACCACGTCAAAGAACTCGACTCATGGTCCGTTCAAGACATACAGTGTTACCGAGGAGACTGTGTCCACAGATAACAAGAGCTCACCTCATGTCTTGTCCAAGGTTTACAAGTCCATCACGACCCTTGATAAGGACAAACTGCTCAAAGGCAAAGATGGAAAAGTGAAGATTCCGTCCGCCATGGAGTTCGATTTCGGACCTTTTGGACCGCAATTTCACGATGAAGGCGGCAAGGTAAGCACTCTCTTATCTCGTTTTGCCGTGGAATTCGATAAAATGTTTTCACTTCCTTTGATTTTATTTGGTATCACTTGCATTAGCAGAGAATATTAAAAAATATGCGAATTTAGTTCCATCCCGTGTACTGATAGCGAGTCAAGTTTTGACGAAACTCAAGGTGCTCGCTGAGATTATCATTTTCCACCGCTCTCGGTTTCATAAAATGATGCCAAGAGTTACTATTAATATATTGCCGGCGAAATTGATCGATTAGATTGGGAATTTCACTCATGTCTCAGTATTTCAAAGGAGAATATTTACTTATGCAACGTGAAAGCGCACCACTTGCAACGTCAGTTACATTAAGATATTTACTCGCAGATTTCAACATGTAAATATGTTTTTTAATAGCTGAGACTGCTTCGCATTCTGCCTTTTAAAGTCCGTTGGAAAGAAAGAGTGAAACTACAGGCTCTAAGAAGCTATTTATCGATTGTGAACTTAAAGTTTAGAAGCCCTTTTTGATCTCTAGATACTAAAAGTGATTTACTGGTACCAGTCGCAGAACCTGTTGCACCTTAGTTAAAATGTACAGATGTCCTTATCTCTGAAGGTATAAATGGAAAATGGCTTCACAACAGATTGTGGTCATTTTCAGAAAGGGAATTAACTAATTGGTAGGTAGAAAATACATAAAAATCAAAGATGCCGGTTTTTACTCAGAAATTTTATTCTTCAAATTTACTCCGGCCTGGCCTTAAAAATAACTGATGATCGCTTTTTCTACGTAAGTGGATGGTAGGTGATCCTGGGGGTTAATCACTGATCGTTGCTAAGGTGATAGCCTTGATAATAGAATCCTTATCGCAAAGTCTAGGGTCTTTATCTAATTATTTGCATTGAACTTTAATTTATAGTTTGAACTAATTTCACATTTTACATTTCAGAAATGCAGCGCATCATCTGATTGTGACAATGTGGAATACTGTGACGCGTTTTTCGGTGTGTGTAAGAAGCGTCTGAGTGATGGAGCTGCGTGCACTCAGAAAGACCAGTGTGAGGACAAATTTAGATGTACGTGGGGTCGCTGTATAAAGAATTCCGAGGAGGGAAGTTCAGGTGAGCTCTTAGAAAAATAGACTGTTGTTGGTCACCCCTCTAGCATTTCGATGCATGTGACAGAAACGCCGAGGATAAGAGACGAAGGGGTTGACATCATGATGATGGTGGCCACGTAACTTCGGATCGAAAGTTCCTGGTCTGAATCCAGGTCGGGGTCATATTATTGTGTTTGTTGGTAAATTATACAGCTCTCAAAGTGGCTCTCCCCATTAAGAACGATCATAATTAGTATCAGCGAACTGTCGGTTGGCAAAATGCTGAGCCCGTGGGGATCAAGGGAGAGAGGATAACTTCTAATGGACAAGGACCTCATCCAAGAGGAGAAGCTAGGAGCTTCTCTCGCAGTGGCTTCGAGCTATGATAGCCAACTTTAAAAGCTTCGAAGCCTTTTGGCTCATCCATTGGATGTACAGGACTGAAACCTCTCCATTACAATTCACCAATTCTCCTTTGACTACTGAAAACAATGCTCCCGGCTGGGTGTCCATACCATAATAATCGTGTCAGGGGCGTTTCTTTTTTGAGAACGGGTCTACTGCTCAGCCCTATAAAATCTTCAAGGGTAAGCAGAAAGGAGAAGTCCAAGCTGAACTCGCTGCTTGAAAGAGTGGCTTCGGTAAGCCATGGCAGCTTTGTCCACCCGTTGGCCTTCAAGCTAATTAAGATTTGATCTTTCTTTATCTTTTAAGGGGGAATACGATCAGATTCATTACTTTTTTGCATCGTATTTGAGTATTTGTAGGGTTTCCATTTTCCAAGGGAAAAAATAGAAAACCTAAGTACTTATACTACGCCATTTGAAAAGAATAGTGTACGAATCTATTTGCAGTCATTTTCAAGACAACGTAAGAAATGTACCCTCACTGCTTTGTCGAAGTGACCTGTTCATCATCGTTTGTAGGCACATTCTGTGACTCGGACAGTGATTGCCATTCTGCTGACGAAGAACTCAGCTGCAGGGAGCAGGCGGATATCAGTCGTTACTTCCGCGTGTGTATGGCCAAGTTAGGAGAAGGAGCCACTTGTGGCCACGTCGGCCTCTTTGATTTGTTCAGACCAGCTGAGGAGGTGTCGAACTACTGCAAGAAGGGACTTGTGTGCAAGACTGTTGGGTGGGTCAAGATCCACTTACTATTGTAGACTTTCTGGAAAACCNAGTGACCTGTTCATCATCGTTTGTAGGCACATTCTGTGACTCGGACAGTGATGTACCCTCACTGCTTTGTCAAAGTGACCTGTTCATCATCGTTTGTAGGCACATTCTGTGACTCGGACAGTGATGTACCCTCACTGCTTTGTCAAAGTGACCTGTGTTCATCATCGTTTGTAGGCACATTCTGTGACTCGGACAGTGATGTACCCTCACTGCTTTGTCAAAGTGACCTGTGTTCATCATCGTTTGTAGGCACATTCTGTGACTCGGACAGTGATGTACCCTCACTGCTTTGTCAAAGTGACCTGTGTTCATCATCGTTTGTAGGCACATTCTGTGACTCGGACAGTGATGTACCCTCACTGCTTTGTCAAAGTGACCTGTGTTCATCATCGTTTGTAGGCACATTCTGTGACTCGGACAGTGATGTACCCTCACTGCTTTGTCAAAGTGACCTGTGTTCATCATCGTTTGTAGGCACATTCTGTGACTCGGACAGTGATGTACCCTCACTGCTTTGTCAAAGTGACCTGTTCATCATCGTTTGTAGGCACATTCTGTGACTCGGACAGTGATGTACCCTCACTGCTTTGTCAAAGTGACCTGTTCATCATCGTTTGTAGGCACATTCTGTGACTCGGACAGTGATTGCCATTCTGCTGACGAAGAACTCAGCTGCAGGGAGCAGGCGGATATCAGTCGTTACTTCCGCGTGTGTATGGCCAAGTTAGGAGAAGGAGCCACTTGTGGCCACGTCGGCCTCTTTGATTTGTTCAGACCAGCTGAGGAGGTGTCGAACTACTGCAAGAAGGGACTTGTGTGCAAGACTGTTGGGTGGGTCAAGATCCACTTACTATTGTAGACTTTCTGGAAAACCTTCTCCATAGTTCTTGTTTTCCTCTTTCCCGTACTTTGCATTCGGTTTTTAAGAGTTGTCCATATTTTTTGTGCAAAGCCTGGGTTCGGCTTAAATTCGCAGTTAGAACTGGGGGTGAGTCTATCCCTGTTTAAGAAGGTCATGGGTTAGAAGATATGGACATTCTGCGTTTTTGTTTTAAAGAGGGAGTCGATTATGAGTTTTTGATACTTTTAATCACGGGAGGGCGAAGGTCGGAGCAGTTGCACCATGAATTGGAAGCTGTGACGAATCTACCGCATTTCGGGCACCTGTGACAAGGTTTACAAGAATGGTTGGTTCGCTCTCTCGACCAAGTCCCCCCTCAGTAAATTGTCCCCTGCCGTAGACAAACATTTTCATTTCGCGTTTTTTCATCTACCAATTGAAGTAAACACCATATCAGCTTTAATGAACTTCTCATTTGCTGATGAATGATTTCTTTATGAAGGTTTTTCGGCCGTAAGGCTTGCATCCGACCTGAGGAGACAAAGTCGATCAACGATGAAGTTTCGAAAAAGGAAATAAAACCAAGCAAGGCCAAGAAAGCAGGCAAGAACAAGAAAATAAAGTTTTAAACGACAAGACTCCAATGGAAGCTACGTTATCTTAACGAGAAATAATCTGGACGAGAAATAATTGATTTGTAAAGATATAAAGTTGGATAAAATACAATTAAAAAAATTCAGTGTAAGTTAAAAGACTGTGAACATTGAGTCTTGAATTAGAGCTGTGTATCTTGTTTCTTGTCCTTCATTCACGTTCCTTTTTCGGGACTAAACTAACTAAACAAGCCTACAAACGAATTACCAAACATAACTCTAATGTGTGAGGCTTGCATGAGAGACTAACTTGGCTCAGTTGTTTTCAGCTTAGGCGGCGATGTGTTAAAGAAGCTTATTCCCGTTGATTTTACGCGTGAGCTAAATGCACAGGTTTAATTGGGATTCTAATTTAGTATCTCGCTAAGTAGTGCAACAGTTTGGTAACCAGGTCTAACTTTTCTGACTAATCGACGGTGAGAAGTCTGGCTATTGCAGTATTGTCATGATAAGATTGACCAATATATCGACGGGTATAGTTCTAGTCTTCTTCATTGGAAGTGCCCAGAACAAGTGCCCTTTGCCGTTATTCCGTGCCCACCTCCTCGAGGAGATTTCCACATAACTTCTCGTAACGACTCTCTATCATTTGGGTGTGTTTTGTATCTTAGGTTCTTCTTGATGTGAAACCAAATTCTCCATAAAAATATACAAGTAACAGTATAGCAGAGAGAAGAGAGAATTTATTTTGAGATACCGAGAGTTTTTCGGTGTTGATTAGTTTATTTACACATTGTAACGACGTTTGAAACGTTCTACTCCATTATGAGAGATTCGGCAAAAAGCATCAACCGAGTTTCACTCTCCATTGTGTGGGCCAAGAGTTTCACGTGCGAGACTATCGTAGCAGTTTATGTGCTCGACTAGTTAAAAATCAGATCTGATCTGCGTCATTCCTCGTCCTCTTTGAGGCAAATAAAGTGAAGGCCTTTAGTTCTGTAAGAAAAGAAAAAAGAAAAAGTGAGAGGGAAGGAGAAAATCATTTCCAGTAATGTGGTTTCGACATGTTTTTAATGTATCACCTTACAAGAAATGTTTTTCTTTGGTTAAAACAATTGAAGCTGATGAATAACATGGACACAAATAAAGAATTGATACACAAACAAAGAAGGTAAGAAACAAATAAGAGAAAGAAACCTTCCCACGATTATTTCAGTTTCTGTTCAAGCGGTTTTTATTCTAAATTATCCATATCGAACGGTACATACGAATGACATCTTGAACGAAACTTCATCCCATTGACAGTGATCAAGAGAATATAAACTTCATCCCATTGACAGTGATCAAGAGAATATAAACTTTATGTTCTCTTTCAGTGGTGTACTAAAATTTAAACTTACCCAACATTCTTACATTGGAGCCCAACTTTACAAGGTCCGCAATCCGGTTCTACCATACCACCTGTATAAACATGGTGGAACAAATTGATTGGGCCACACGACTCAAACTCATTTAGCATTGGCTTGCACATGGACGTGTGTGGGTTAACAGAAATCTCTCGAATACAGCACGATTCTTTGCCGAGACAATCCGAAGTCCTGTCGCAATACGTACCAGGCTCCCCTTCCTGTATGCCCTTAGTGCATTGGCCATATTGACAAGCGTATCCTTCACAGCAGGTTCCTAAAAAAAAAAAGAAAAGAAAAAAACATTTTATTTAGTTGGAGATATTGCAAAATCATTTTCAACTGGTGTTTCCTTACCAATGAAATGACAGGCTGCTCGATCGTGAAGACATGCCCTGCATGTATGAACATCACAAAACTTCCCGGCTGGGCAATCTTTGTTGACATTGCATTCCTCGGTCCCGGCCTCTACCATTGCACGAAAATGCCAAGGTGACGGCATGTGTAATATAAATTGCTAGAGAAGAAATATAAAGAAGTGTTGAACATTACATGGTACGCTTAAAAGTACATAGATTAACGTCACTCAAAAGATAATTTTTACAGCGTAATTTTTCTCTGAGTTTAACCTTGGCAGTTCCTCAAGTACTGCCAAGTCGGCGGTTAATTTTTCGCCGAACATGACGATTTATCTGCGCGCCGATAGAAAAGAAAAACCTTGCACTGATAGTGGCAGGAAAAAAAAAAAACAAATTCGTTATACACTGATAGCAATTGGTCGGTTTGGTAGAGTAAGGTGTCGTCGTCTATTAGTTTGGATATATTCATCAGCCAAAGAAAACTCGACTACAACTTACTCTGACTGTTGTCCGATATATTAAATAAGTATTGCACATTTCGACTGGTTATCAGCGCACGACTGCTTGGTTAAAATAAGCGACTTACTAACTGAAATTGCCTATTCAGTCGGTACCTGTGTGATGATAAACAGTTTGCGTCAATTTTTGAGTGAAATAAAACTGAGACCAGAAAGACCGTAGACTATACGGTAATAGCCATACAAGGTTAAGGAGTAAGCAGCAACCTAGTTCACTTTCTTGTGTCGTTGATGATCGACAGAACAATAATTCTTCGTTTCTTACCCGTCTCCGTGATGCACCTGCACTACTTTGTTCCTTTGGACTGTTCCCTTTCTTAATTCCTCTAAAAGCTGCGACTGTGTCGAATAGTTTTAGGGTTAATACAAACAGTCCTAATTTAAAAAACATTTCAAGCCATTTTCGTAACCAAAGCAAACGTCTGTTGTATTCAAGTCACTAGCATAAATTATTCATTAGGTAAAATTTTTGCACTTGAACAAGTTGGTATTTGTGAGGATCGGGTCAAGTCTTGTCTCAATATTAAATACATATTGACTGGCCTTTGCCATTGCTTAAAATCATCCCACCGCCTTTAAAAAAAATTTCAACATGGCTGATTCGAGAGGATCTACCCCCGGCTTTCGATGATCTAAAACTGTTTGAATAAACTCTCTCTTTCTCTGTTAAAAATGACGTACTCTGTAATGTTTGGAGTTCGTGCATTCCGGTGATAGAGAACGATGCACGTTACTATGTTAGAATGCATGAAAGTGAATTGGTTTAACACTGTGGCCTCGACGAAAAGGGAAATAGATAGGATGCTTTAAGCATTGCATTCTCTCGTCTAGTTCTTCTCCAGTTTGCAACCTCTGTTTCTTTTTCAAGCTGCAAAATGACAACGTTGTATCGTTGGTTTTACTTTTGACCCAAGTCATGCGTCTGTAGGTTAAATGATATTCTCCGATGTATTCTATCCTCGATAAAATGGGTCCCTCACTCATATATTTTTATGATTGAGTTATTTGTTTTCCAAATTATTATCACTTAATTTTATTGGTTAATAAGGGTGCTGCCGATGACACGTGATTTCAGTAAAGGTGTGGCAAATCAGTACGTGGAGGAAAAATTAACTTTAAGGCTGTAAGAGAAAAGTAGTTGTTCAACAGGACAGAAACTGAAACTACGTGCGGCAAATTCAGCAATAGTTTCTGTGAATCTCAAATCACTATTTCTTGAGGCACTGACTAGCTTTAAAGCTCAAATGTCTGTATTCATCACCTTTAGCTGAGCTGTTTTGAGTTTTTTTAAGTTTGCTAAGATAGGAGACTATTTCCTTAGCTGCTTTGCCACTGAAACTAAGGGGAGATTTAAGAAAAGATTTACGATAACATATCCCGAGTTGGTTGGTATTACTACATCTCTGGGTTTCTTCGCACTGGATAAGAAAGTCCTGTTCATGCCCTCTTTGTTCCAAACTACCGGTACCAGTTCACGGAGAACATTCAGCGAATCGCTTTATCCCGTTCTAAAGGGATAACTACCGAAAATTGCATCGCGACGAATACATCAATCTAAGATTGCTTTGTGAAATAATAAGCATAGCTTGAAAACTGAGGAAAGCTGTGAAATAACTCTTGGATCTATATCGATCGCTTTCACAAAGTGGATCGAATACTGGGCTTATACGGAAAGCTATTAATAATAAATGAGTGGATGAAATAATAATTCTGGCCACATAAACGCTCTGTAACTTGGCCCAAAGTCGAAGGCCTAGCGAGAATTAGGACGTCAAGGAGTCCTTTTTACGACGAAATGAACCTAAATTCGAAATGGTGGCTTTTAATAGGAACTTTACTTAGCCAAATTTGGCTTCCGCGAGCAACTGCCAAAAAGAACATCGCCCTAAAGCATCGATTGAGAAAAGAAGTACGGTCAGCCGAAAATGCCAGGGTTAAAAAGGTAAGTTAGAGCAACCTAGATTTCGTGAAATGCTTCCGTGAAAGAGGTCACAGGTATGTTTATTTGAGAAATAAGGCAATCAAAATCAAGATTGTTTTGATTAACGAAGATGATCATGTATAGGCTACCTCGCAACGCCAACATTGATCCAAATCAGCGACCGGGACCTGTAATTACTCGAAAAGTCACCGAGAAGGTGTTGCTAACAGCGCACTCAGATGCATGAGTCCAAAAGCTAAACAAACTTAAACAAAAGAAAGCGAATTTACTTGTAGTTTCACGGTGTAACTTGACCTAACCAGGACGCATTATACTTTGTGTGCTTCTTGCTTTTTGTTTTGTCGAAGTAATCTATAATGTCAGTGTTCAAAGCCATAACACGCAAATGTATTTAATTTACATGCCTTAGTATTGCTGATACACGTGACCTCCTTGAGCGGAGACCCAGTAGGGCATACGCTTCAGGGTCTACATCCAGAGAAATGATTCTGTTTGATTCAACTGATCGATTGACTCTTCAATAACTAGCAAGGGGCCAACCAAAGCTGACGTAGATGCACTACATCGCCAACAATTCCTCTGTAGGGAGCTTCTAGCTGCCTTATGCCGGGATGTATGTTTCTTTTTGACGGAGACGTTGGTAAATTTAAAATTGTAATGAAATGCAAATTGCAAGAAATTGAACTTCCTGTTTATTGTGATGATTAGAATATACTTCTCTTGACTTAGGACATGATGCAGCCATTTCCCCAGATGGAGCCCGATATGGGTTCAATTGCCAATGCTGGAGTAGAAAAACCGCAGCCACGCATGCTTGCACCAGGATATTACTCTCAAGAATGCAATACCCACAAACCTTGTGACCCAGGTAAGCTGAAAAAAAGAAAAACTTTTTAAATTTACAACAAGTTGGATCCAGCAGACGTTCCAGTCCTTATGGCGAACATTAGATAATCATTTGAACACAAACCTAAATACAGGGAGTGTAGAGGAAGAGGTGGTCTCTGAGTTGGCGCGCTGGATCGAAAGGTTCAGATTGGAGTAGTATCTGTTGTCATTGTGTTCTGTTCTTGTGCAAGGCACTGTTCTCTTACTGCCCCTTCTGCACCTATCACGATCATTCTTTCCTGGTAACATAAATGGGTACAGTCGATACTTAGCATATTTCTCGACTTGGCTTTGGTATAAGCTCTGGCAGTAAAACTGATGGGAAAATGTAGCTGTAATTGCTATTCAGCGGACGAAAAAAATAAGTTTTTGAAAATGCAGTTAATGGTTAAACTCGTCTACTGCAAAAAATGGTCTAAAAATACTTAAGTTTTCCCAGAAACGACTGGAGATAAATAATAGCAAGTATCTACTAAGATCACGTAAGATTCCTCTGTAATTTGTAAGAATTAGCCATTTTGTTTGGGTTGCTGTCTTTGGGCTTTGCTGTCACGACTACTGAGTTTTTGCGGGAGTTTCCTAATTTTGTTCTTTGTGTGATTTTCAGGAAAGTACTGTCACATGTTTCTGTGTGTACACTGTTTAAAGGAAAATGTGGCCTGCACTCAAAATGGTCAATGTTGTCATGGCCAATGCACATATGGTCGATGTAAAAAAGATGCTTCTGGAGGTTCTCCAGGAACATTCTGTGATCGACACGATGATTGTAACGACCCTCCTGGGACGTGTTGTGTTAGGTTTGTATGTGAACAAGGAAGGGAACAGGTTCAGCCATTCAATATAGAGTTAATTCTTCTAAAATTATTTTTAGACTAAAGCAATCTGGTCGACTGGGAATATCCATGTATCCACCCGCATGCACGCTTTTCTACATGGAAATGTTTAGATAAACAGGCAGACTGATAGACAGGCCATTAATTAGAGAAAGTTCATGGGCGGATAGACAGACAGAAGAGAAGACTGCAGGTTCATTCGGAGATGTATCTCTTGCGCTGAATAACGCTTAAGTCAACTGAACATTCTTATTGTTGTATTATGTCATTCCAGAGAACCAGCCATCAATCCGCATATCTCCGTTTGCAAACCACCCTTGGAGGAGAACATGGTTTGTGGTCCAATCAACTTCTTTAAAAATGTTTACATCGGAGCTCAGGTGCAAAGAGCTTGCGGACCATGCAAGGCGGGACTTGTATGCAAGCAAGTTGGGTGAGTCAGAACATTTGGCAAGGCATGGTGATCACATTTGACTTATTTTTCGATAATTGGCTTCCCAGTTCTGTAAAATCCCATGTTATATCGATCGTGTGTGCGGTCAGAGACGAACTTTTTCCAAATGTGGGTATTTTTCTTTTGCAGAATATTTGGGGTACATGAGATTTGTGTGAAAGAAGATGACAAGTAATTTTTGGGGCTCAAGTAGAAAGCTTTTTGAATGGTGTAAGGACTGCATCAAAATATTTGTTAACGTGCCATCAAGAATGGAAGGATTTCATCGTTCTCGAAAGTTTGATAAAGCTTGTGAATGGGATCGTAGGTTCGCATCTAATCTGTTTCTTTCAAATGAAAATTTCCTAGTCGGATAATTGTAAAAGGTAATTTGCATTGATTACATTCATGTGGATGATGAGTACCCTTAAACCTAACAGATACAGTCGAGACTCACGAGAGCATGTTATTTTGAACCAATGATTTTCAGACCATTCAATTTGATGTCTGAAAATGCTTTTTACTTTGCACTAAGCCTTGGAAATCTAAGCTCGGTGATTTACTGGAGAACTTATAACCTCGCTATTTTTATCGTGTATAAAAGTGCATAAAGTTGATCACGAAATCTTTTTTATAATAGCTAAGACTATAAACATAAACGTCTCTCAGTATACTCTGTTATTGTTATTATTTAATTTCCCGTTAAGTGCTTGTCATCGGTGCTAAAAAAGAATAAAATGTATTTTCTTATATTGAGGTAAATCTATGTTTGTATCGTCAAAAATTTAGTGGACTTTAAGTAAGAAAACTGGGTCAAGTAGGGATTCTAGTCAAAACAGTATGGGTTTGTTGGCGAGGGATGTTAGAAAACATTTCTGCGTAGTACGTTACCACTGATGCTACTTATTGTATTTTCTTTTCGATTCTGAACTGGAGATGTTGATGTCAGATAAATTATTTATTTCACGTACTTGCTAAAATATAAAAGCAAAGTTTATTTCACACCAGAGTACAGCACAGAAAGAGAATGTGCCATTACACGACCGTCTTAATTCCACACTTACATATTGCGAAAGCAGCATGCATGCAGTTATTGGCATTAATGCCAGTCAGCGGAAATGGCATTTTGTTTAATTATATGTTAATTAGCTATTAATCTACTAGTGGCTACAAAATTGAAATGGTAAATTGGCCACCGTAACGATTACAAAAGCTGACGTTTCGAGCGTTAGCCCTTCGTCGAAGCGAAGGGCTAACGCTCGAAACGTCAGCTTTTGTAATCGTTACGGTGGCCAATTTACCATTTCAACTTTGTTGATATATCCAAATTATTTCGTTACCCCACCGACGCAGCCCCAAACAGTTTCTTTAGAAACTATCAGCCTTTATTTACTAGTGGCTACCTTGATCTCAAGTTTTCTTTGCTAGATCGAAATTTCGTTATAAATACTAAAATTTTACTCCAAGTAAAATGTGGTACGAATTCTTACATTCAAGCAACAAGACATTGACTTCAAATGATGGGAAAAAACCGAAATTCGTTTCACCTTAGTGAAAAATGTCAAAACGATAGATTTAATGATAGTGTTTTATTTGTAAAGTGTTAGTCTTGGCTCAACATTGTATCAGGAGAACTTTCCACTTGTCAGCACAGAATCCTACTTCTTTCCTGGGGGACTTGCTTCAGGCAGGCAAACTTGATGAACACCGAATATGCTGGAAAAAATGAAAATAATGAACAATAGATGCAGTGATATGCTAATTGGTCTCAGGAGCCAAGAGGCCCGCACCAACAAATCTTATCCCGGTTTTGTTAATAGAGAGTGAAAAAGAGTATTGTTTCTCTCACTACATTTCATGAGGTTGATAATATCTTCTCTCCTCTACTTTGTAGCCAAATTCTGTTTTGGTACAGTCTGAAATTTTTAATTGCATTACCATGAGGTAAAACACCATCTCTGTATCTCCGATTATTTTCTTTATGTTAGGATAGATTGTTTTTATTTTTTCAAAATCATAATAGCTAATAAACGTATAGTCTCATTGCAAATCAAGCGTTTCTCTTCACTCAGTTTAATCGAATTGTACTTACCCTACTTGTTTGCAAGTCAAGCCCTGTTTACACGGGCCACAGGCCGGTTGCACAGTACCACCAATGTACATTGTCCTGTACTGATTGTACGGTCCACACGTTTGATGTTCATCGAGGGCGGGCTTACAAATTGAGATAGCAGGATTGATGGCAGGTTCACGGACACAGCAGAGATCCTGGTCCTTACAATCACTTTGTCTATCGCAGAAGGATCCTGGAAAGAAAAGAAGTGAGGTGATCAGTCGATATTCCTTCAAATGGCCTTAGTTTATGACTGCTTAGTTTATTAGGCGAGAAGCCGGCGATCAGATCCGTTTCGAGCTAAAGAAACTTGCAATAAGAGCCACTGTTTTAATTATTTTGCAAGACTAACTGCAGTAGCGAAACAACAAAAGAACTGAATCCCGAAAATGTTTGCAAGCATATCCCTGCTTCCGCCCTCTCGCGTCTCCACCCAAATTTCTCGAGGAGAATTCAGCTACAAACGATGATTTGTCTTTCGATGCTTTCTATGAAGTTGCTTTTCAGGTAGTTCGAGGCTTTGCAGCTGTTAACAGACAACCATTCAAGTTGGAGGACGCCTAACGTAACAAAATGTTTCACTGAATCCCATACCACTTGCTCAAGGCACCATGCAATGCAGAATCTTAATGATCGCATTCCCTTTATCTAGGCTAGTGCTTCTTGCGTTTGACATATTTTCGTCACGGATTTTTGGACACACTTCAATTTTTGCAAAAGTGATCCTCACTATGATTTGTTGAAGAGTACGTATTTGACCGCAGAAAAAAGATTCGATGTTTAGACCATGTGAGGCAAATTGCAATACCGTGTCATTCAACTACGTCTTGTGAAATTTGCTGGTGGGCAAGAGTACATAACAAGCGGCTGTAAATAATTTTTAAGGTCGTTTACCTGCTTGTCCTGCGGTAGACCCAGCCTTACAGCGACCGTAAATGCACTCCGATGAAGGACAACACTGACCATTTTGTGTGCAGGCTACATTTTCTTTCAAACAATCAACGCACAGAAACATGTGACAATATTTGACTGGATCTTTGCATTGCTTGTGAGCATTACATTCTTGAGAGTAATAGCCTGGGGATATCATCTGAAACGTAATCAGTATCGGACATTTATTATGATATTGAAGCGCATGCAGCAACAGAGGTGTATATGCTTATCTCCAGTCTGGAAAGATTAAGTAAACTTAAGTTATTAAAATAACATCCTGGTAGGGGGACTACCACAGCAACTGAACTTCTGCTTCATTCCGAAAGCATGATTAGAAGAAATACTTTACGCAAAACTTTTAAATAGATGATTTTAGAGTGAGTATTCTATGGAGTTAGCATTTCTATTGTCTCTAAGAAGAGGAATATAACGATTGTTTTAAGTCTTAAAGCTAGCTCATATATACTGAGAGGAAAAAGTGATGGACATGGTTCTAAATAAAGGGGCTAAGTTTCTGAACAAAGTGAGGTGCAGCATCAGTAGGGCCAATTTGGTTTTCATGACCAACTAAGTTGATACGTTGGTTTCGAGTGCCCTTCGTCACTGTTGACGAGAATGATAATCTTGTGATACGAAATTCCTATTCTGCTGAGGGCACTTACTACCTATTTCAGAGAAACGTTCTAAACGATTGGACTGAATCATCACCACAATTCCTTGCATTTGGAAAACGATATCTAACCGCATCTTACTTCTGATAAGAACTAAAAATCGGTCCAGTCTATTTACTCAAGGGGCTTTCAGTTGCTATTGATCGAGGGCCAAGTTGAGCTAAGTTTCTTTTAGTCGATAAATTTCGTTTTCTATTTGCTTGACCGAAATGTGATCAACAGGTGTTAACATTGAGGCAAAACAGCTTCGCAGTCTGATCATACGCCTACAGCTACAAGCTACAAAAGTAACTACGATCTCAGTCTTTTCGATCGTCAATTTGTGTGGTTGCGTATTTATCGGATATAAACAAAATTAGAGATCAAAATAAAGAAATATTAAAAATTCAAAATGGTGGATCTGATTAAGTGATAAAATCGAAGAGGGTACAGCTCATTTGAGTCTTAAGAAACTTAAGAGGAGACAGTGCTTCTCGTACTCTCAACTTTGACGAAATGAAGCGTTTCTACTATCGAAGGAATGAGAATGATTAAAAACTTTGCTGACCTTTTTAACTATAACGTTCTTGTCTTCATCTGTCGGCGTCCTCCTTTGTATTTTACTTGTCATCGCACAAACAAAACAATAACAAAATAGCAGCAGAAGAGGATAAAGCTTTGAAAATCGCAAATTGTCTGCCATGATGATGTTTATGACTAAATGATCATGTCCAAAGATATTATGTTCTCCTTTTTTGGCTTTTTCGCGCTCCGGAAAGCGTAGTTTTTCTAATAAAGGAATAAACAAAAGCAAAGGCATGGTTTATTAATGACTTTGATTAGATAATACAATTGGAAATTGCGCTTCGAGAAATCACTGAAAGCCAGTGAATAAAGAATGGAGCACCAGAAAGTTACCCGCTCGGCGATTATTTCAAAGTTCTTGCGAGTTCTTCATAGGAGTAGAACCACCGATGAAACACCAACAATGAGTTTTTGATAGAAAGCGCAGGAAATTAAAAGTGGAGTACAATAAACCTCTTTCCAAAATGGCCGGTGTGGTTGCTTTTCTCTTATATTCTTTGAAATTTGCCATTCTGGCCCCGACAATATATTTTAAAAAACAAGACAATTTTGACTCCAAAGAGGACGCCAAGACGATTAATTTGCTTACACACTAGAAAAAAACATTAGTGTCTGGAATTCTAGAAGAGGTTTATGTTTGACACGTTTCCACTGCGTTGGTTTTAACGAGAAAAAGCGAATATGTTACATTTTTCACATGTTTCTGTGAACAAAACTTATTGGGTTTATTCACCAAGCTTCAGTTACAAATTTCTGTTCCACCTTGGTGCAATTATAATCGACATCTAAATTGTTAAGCCAAGCACGGACGGCGGTCTTAGCAACCTTTATGTCACCGACTAAAATACTTCCTAATGGCCAGGTTGAAATGGATTTGCCCCATTTTTGCCAAGTCAATTAATGAAAGATCAAGGAGGTTAAAAGCAGTTCAAGTCGAAGGTACGTTCATACTGGGTTAATCCTTTAAATCCCAAGATCTTATTGCTAATTCTCCCCTCTGGCTTTTGCATAGTACCTTGTACATTAGTTACGAGAATTTGGTGTTAGATCAAGCTAACAACTGTTACCCGTTTGTGATAAGTTTGTATTCTCATAAACTGTTTGCCGGATATTGTAGGGAGAAGTTACATGTTAATCCCTTCTGGGAGTTAAAGAGTTTTAAAAGAAACTTTGCAACCGTAAGGTTATTTTTTTTCCTAAAAAGTTTTGATTTGAAACGACTGATTAACATGCGAATCAACTAATATAGTCGTCAAACAAGGACAACATTTTGCGTTGCGTGAAATTTTTTTCGTACTTTTGAATTTCGCTTGTCACCATTTGATAACACATACTAATAATCTAACCGATTGTAGGCCGAGAGTTCAAAAACATGTAGGTAGTTTCGCCCTTAAGAATCTCAGGAGGCTACTCAGGAGAAACAATCACTTCACAAGCTTTACTTTTGCTTTGCAAAAGGAAAAAAAAGTCTTGGAAGAGAGTAAATCTCCTCTAAAAGCCTTCATAGTTTCAAACAAAATCCTAACAAACTCTTGAAACAGGTAATAAGCTTTAAACAGTAATTTATCAAAAAGCGTTTGGCGCGAAAGCGAAAGCGAAAGCGGTGATTGCTCTGCTTTTAATTACTTCACAATGTGAACAAAAAGATTCGGGGAGCGCGAAATTTGAATTTCGAGCGAGATAGGAAAACATGGAAGACAGTAAGATAACCAACCAAAACGCCTCACCTCCAATTCATTACGCAAAAGGATTGATAGTCGTGAACACAAAACAAATTCAGGCGCGTAGCGTGGTCATTTTTTCAAGTACGCACAAGTACCTATGATCTAGAAACCTAAGTAAACTGAGTGAAAAATACTGCGTTATTTATTTCTTGTTCGAAATAGTTGTGTGAATACAAGCAAAGAACAAAGCGTCTTGCCCTTCCCAAGTTGAGCAAACTTGGCGCAAACACAACATTGTTTTCAAAATTTTCTGGTCCCTTCAAGTGCGCACGTGCGTATATGCGTATAGGACGCTACGCGCCTGAAATTGTAGTAAGTTACTCGGCCTTCTATGTGAGACAAGTAATAAAATCATTATCGCGAGGTTCGAAATTTAAATACTCTGATAGACGGCGTTCACCTGAAGCACATTGACAGCTGAGGTCTTCATTCAGAAGACCTGAAAAGATTAGGATGTACTAAAATTCTCACGCAAAACCAAACCAACTTTAGAGTGCTTCGCTCCGACGAAGGGCTAACACTCGAAACGTCAGCTTTTGTAATCGTTACGGTGGCCAATTTACCACTTCAACTTTGTTGATATATCCAAATTATTTCGTTACTCCCACCGACGCAGCCCCAAACAGTTTCTTTCGAAACTATCAGCCTTTATCAACCGTTAGAGTGCGACTGCTAGTTAGTGGAGTATTCTGAAACGGTTAGGTTTGATGAAGAGAAAAGAAACCCAACGGATTCGTTTCTCCGATTAGCATGTTTGTTTAGGTTATGCAGGAAATAAATGGGACACAATCATTTCAGTTTGATAATGAAACAAAGAAAAACCTCGACGTTTAATGATGCAACTTAAAACAAGAAAAAAGAACAGAAGGTATAGGTAAGCAGTTTCAAAAAATCTTTTAGCTTTGAAAATTGTATCGGCACAGCGAACCTGCGGCCTAAAAAAAAATTATTTTCCAGTGTCTTTTCTTACGCAATAATTCGCGAATGATTCATTAAATCGATTTAACCTTTCGTTCAACATCGATTCAACTTTTCCCTTGCAAGGCCTTTGTGAGGCCTTTGAAAGGCCTCCGAACAACTTTGTTTTTGCGTCCAACATTTGCCCGACATGCGTTCATGATCAACTTTTGTTGAACGAATGTTGGTCAAATGTTGAAACCGCCTTTAAACGAGCCTTTACACGTTAGGCCTGCTTTTGGGCGAAACCATTTCTATGTTCCACGTGCAATTGTTCAAATTCTATTGACAAGTGAAATGGTGAGATATTTTTGCAAGACGGTAATTTCTTTTTAGTTAGAACTTTCATACCGCATGCTTTGTCGGGATCAGAAAACTTAAGCTATTCCACCCACGTGCACTCATGCATTAGTCCTGACCAGATTTATAAATAAAGGGTGAAAGTTTCTAAAGAAACTGTGGTGCTGCGTCGGTGGGGGTAACAAGGTAATTTGGTTATATCAACTAAGTTGAAATTGTAAATTGGCCACCGTCAGAGCGAATGACGAAGGGCTAACGCTCGAAACGTCAGCTTTTTAACTCGTTACGGTGGCCAATTTACAATTTTAACTTAGTTGATTTAACCAAATTACCCGACTAGATTTAATCACTTCTACTTCTGGGCGAAACCATTCTCGTTCTGAGCGAAACGATGTCGGCGAAACTCGTTATGGGCGAAACTATCTATTTCGATCTACCACGGCTAAAGATAAAATAAACCCGTTGGTCTTTGTGTGCAGAATGCGTTTAAAAATGATGAGAAAGAACACCAAGCCATTTCCAAGGAGAGCCAAAATGGTGAAAAACCATCCCAGAACTCAGAAACACATCACTGAAGTGCTAAAGAATACAAGGAACTCTCAGTGTGACCAGTAGGGTCCCTTTTCCTTTTGCTAGAGTGAAATGCTGTCAAGCAGTGACCATCGGCTTTATTCAAATTATCTGATACACAATTCGCCTTTTGTTTGGGAAACAAAGCGATCGACACAAAAAAATTTTACATAGAGGAAGCTTACATCAAAAAAGCGACATGTCTAATTTCTACGGCTTCAGAGCTCTAAAGTGGATATTGATTTTGGCTCCATGTTCTTTTTGTAGGTTTAAGACTAAATCATACTCTTACTCAATTTAGATTTCTATCGCTTCTTTGTCTTCAAGTATGTTTCTAAAGAGAATTACAAAAGTATTCAAGGAAGGTGCTGTATGGATCGGAATTAGCCATGGCAGTTTGGCGACGAAGGGCTAACGCTCGAAACGTCAGGTTTTGTAATCGTTACGGTGGCCAATTTACTATTTCAACTTTGTTGATATATCCAAATTATATCAGAATAACTGTCGACTATTCCTAACTTGACCCTACAATTGATAATGACTCGCCGATTGAATCGAGAGAAAAACTATCAAATGTTCATTTATTGTGGATGACATAAGCGAGAAGTGGGGATTAAATAATCACTGACGGGGGCAGGGTGGGGGGGTGATGAAGTCATGCTTGAATGTACAAATTAAAGTACGGGGTAAATATTATAAAGCCAGTCTGAAAAAGCTTAAAAAAATAAAGCAAAACAAAACATATGCAACAAGTTTAGTAATTGACTGGTTTTTGAAGTGCTAAAAGGTATTCATCTAATAATCACTGTTTTTTTCAAGGTAATAGAAGTTATTTCATTTAAAATGTTGTTAATTCTCTGTTTCAACTGCGTTGGAAAAAGTCTAGTGGAAGTTATACTACCATCTATTACTATCACTCAAGTCATTGAAGATATTCTAGAATTCATAACACAGGTGTGCGCCCCATACTAAAACCGTTTTAAGCTTGATAGCATGTCTAAAGAAATCACCTTCGATTTCTCAATTCCACTCGACCCATCGCCCATCCCCTGGCCGCCATTTTGGGAGTGGGAACGAGGCTGCTCGCTCCATTGACTAAGAGAGACTGGGAACAAATGACGAAATCTAGCGTGACTAAATACGACTGAAAGTGGAGAGTATGCCGGTTGGAAATAAACCGTCTTCGATGGGAAAACAATCCTTCGACATCATTCGGATTGAATAAGCATGAACCAAACGACGGCGTCGTCCAACTGGATTGTGAGTAATATGGCTGTAGTAGATGGAAAACCAGAAATGGCGAATGTTCATGCATGTCGACAAACATACCGCTGGACACGAAGCCCTGTGATTAGCGTGTTAGAGGTAGGATTTACCTCAAAGCTATTTTGTTTTGGGGATTTTGTTATCATTTGAATTCTTTCTACTGTTTCCTGCTTATTTTTCTGGTTAGTTGGGTTATGACTTGCTTTATAGTGTTCTAATTCAAACAAAGAAAACTTGCCTTTTTGTGGAGCTAGCTGTAAAGGTTTTGAATCTTTTTTTCTGGGGGAGGGGGGGGGAGAGGGCGGTAAATCACTTAGATTTCAACGTAATAATCTACCGTTAACGAAGGAAATCGTACTGCGGTCAAGTAGGAAAAGAAAAAAAAATAAGAAATGTGCTTCTATTGTTGTGTAGTGTCAAGGAGGAAAAGCATTTAATCTACGCTACCCCTTATCATGTATATTGAAACTGTAGAACGATGAATCTCCGCAACGTCCCCGTCCGTTCCCTCGCTCCCTCAATTCCTCCCTGCATTTCATCATTCATCAAAGCAATGTCAAGCAGTGAGGCTTTAATTTCAACCTTTTTATTAAAATTGACATTTATTATATCAATCACAGTCTTTAGAAATGAGAGAAAGATTTCCATACTGTTAGAAAGCAGAGTTTTGCTCCTAAATAAAGGTAAACTATTAGTTTCGCCAGTGTTTCCTTTTACTTTTAAAAATTTACTTATTATGCAGTTTCGAGTTATACAACAATCTTGGCGAAGTAAGTTCCAACAGTTTGTGTCTCAAGTGCCTTTTTTTTTCAGTTTCAGAGTTCTTTCCTTGCTACAGAAAAGCCCATGTACAGTGGAGTTAATGATGATTTTTCCCTCTTCTCCTATTCCAATTCATCTCACATAATTCCACTCATTCCTCTTGGTTCTCTAGTAGCTCCCAAGCGTGCAAAATGAACCTCGCACCAAATCATTGACGTATCAGTCAGTCATTGATTGCAGCTGCTAATCCATATTCATCAGGAATGGCAGAATTTTCAGCAAACCACGCTGTCTGTCGAATAGTGAAGACGTGCTTTCTGAAGCACTGAAAATAGGGTTGCACGCTGGAAAGAAGACGTAGGACCGTCAAAGAAGAGCAACGGATGATACTTACAGCATAAGGTGAGCATTTCTTTAGGAAACTATTACTTTAGTTTCTTCCAAAGAGCTATCAGTCGTACCATCTCACGATCAGCTTTAAGACTAAAGCGAGTCGGTTGCTTTACCCGAGCGGCTCTTCAATTCGAATTTTAATTGAATTAGCTAGAATGCTGGTCCGAGAAAAGCAGAACCTATGATTGAAGAATATTCCGAGAGAACTTTTGAACGAACTTTCGGTGAAACAACTAATTGCAGACTTTAAGAAAGACATTCTGTCGTCGAATGCGACCACGTGGATATGGAACGACTCTTCTGCAAATACCTCAGTGGCCTTTGCTTCATTTCAAATAACATTTCGAAAATTCTTGCTTTTTCTCTTCGTCTATACTCGTACCATTGAGAAAAGAAATTGTATAGAAGTTAAAAAATATAAGGTCCCAAGATTGTGCGTCTTCTCAGACAGTGAGCATTGTCTGATCACATTTTTATTGTAATTTCAGGAGAAGCAAAATTAGTCAGAAGGATGAAAGAAGGACAAAGATTCTGGTCAAGATGAGACACTGGAATGAAAGAATTGTTAGAGGATATTCCAAAGATAAGAATTTTAATATATTGAATAACAGCATAGTTAGTAGAGCGGGACTATGATAACAGTAGCAAAAATGGTGGCTCCTTAGATCTTATTGTTGTACAAAGTCTTCATACAAAGAGCGTCGGGGCGCGGAATCCGAAGGTCTGAGGTTCGATTCCTCACGGGGACTTTGTTTATCCCTCGCTCGTGACAAGACGAAAAAACATCTCTCGCCAAAGTCTTCATCAGTTCTTTCACTTAGTCTTGGAATGGATAAACATGGCTACCTGGTAAGTTAAGCTAACTCAATTATGGTTTCAAATTAGCCATCATTTTTGGAACAGTTTGTTATGATACGGATTGTTATGCAGACCTTGAGCGATCGCATGATCTGTTTGAACTACTGGCGTTAATTTAATTGGTGCAAGCTATCTCTGATAATCTCATTTCATTGAAATAACCAAACTTGCTTCTGGAAATAGATTTTCATTTGACCACAGAAAGCTGCCACTGAAATCGTTGGTTTAAAACTGCCAATCGCTCATTTTCGTTTGCTTAACAGTTTGTACCACACTTTGACCACAGTTGATGTTGCGCAAAGGTGATATTTGTTATGGTGGCACTCTAACAAAAGTCCTCGGAAGAAGACCAAATGAAACTTAAACAAACTCCTGGCAGTTTATTCATTCCAAAAATCGCATTGCTGAAAAGAACTTACTGACAAACCACAAGACTGATTGGTACGTTTCTCGATGTTAAACCTATATTCCCAATTTTCAACGACTGACCTTCAAAAGCCTGACTTACCCAGAACAGACTCCTCCCCCAGATGACAACAACTACCAGCACCTTCCGAACGATTCCAAAGCCACCGACGTGGTCAAAAGAACAAATAGACGTTAATTTATTAGTCTGACAGCCATTTACCCTACAACAAAACTGACCAATCCCTCCTGCGAACCAAAGTTGTGATATCTGACTTATTAACGCTCTACACTCGACTCTGACAACGACTTGCATTCGGGCCGGCCAACTAATTTCTACAACAAACATTGATTTATGTGAAATTTTACTCTCGACATGAATTAAATTTAAGTGTATATAACTACTTTTTTTTTTTTCTAAAAAGAAGCATTTGGTTGTCATACAGGTAGGAAACAGTGCCATATCATAACTTATGTTCGCTGTTGTGTGAAATCAACTGGGGTCTGTCCTAATGTAGACTGAGTTACATTTAAAACTCGAATGCCTGGTCAAGAGCTTTTTTCTAGAAACTGATTAGGTCGAATTTTTACCTTTATGTAAACCAGTAAAAATTGACTGAGAAATGTAGCTCTATTTTTTGAGATCTTATTCGATGAAAATGAAGTGGCAAAATTATTCCACAAAGCGTTAAAAACAGCAACAGTTTAGGCTAAAATCGACTCGAACTGATGGAAACCAAACTTTTTACTAATACTGAAGCATTCAACCCATGACATGAGTTAGTTGTTACGAAAGAGTTTAAGTGTCAGGTGGTATTATCAGACAAACAAGAAAAATCATCAGTGCTGATATTTGCGCAGAAAAATTGGAAAATATGGTAAGGCAGGTTTTTCCCAGACAAACGTGCGAATCCAATGCAAATTAAACAATTCAATAGTTTGTCAAATGAGTTGTTTTATTTACTTGTTGAATGCTTACACAAATCGTACAAGAATAACACGGAAATTTAGGAAATCAGGATCATATGAACATATACATCCTTCTAATAATATTGAAATTTATGCAGAAAGCACTTGGCGACGGTTGACTTTTTGCTGGTTTATATACACTGTGTTTCTTGAAGACGAACTTTTCAGGTATAGGTGGTTTGCAACCAATCTCTAGAGACACAGGTAACAATGGTGAAAGGAACAAATGCTGGTGGACGAACAAAAGAAGCTAACGAGATATCTATTGTTTTCGTCCACCAACATGGCGGCAATGACGTACGTGCAAACCACTATTCAAATGAACCTTGTGAATTAGGTTACACTCGAAAAAAGGAATCATCTGTTGCTTCTCAGACCAGGCATTTGGTTTTAAAATAGTGAAGTGAACTAATTCATTTACTTCTTATTTTTTAAGTGGAAGTAAGATCTTATGGGCAGTCACTCGGTGTAACACAGGAATACAGAAAAAAAAATATTGCCAATTATGGTTCCATTTTGAAATTCAGGTTATAATCACAATAAAACAAAAATTTTTAACAAACGCGAAGGTTAATTATCATTTGTCTTGGCTTTTGTGGCTAAAATCAACAGTTGAACTATTTTATATCCCAAATTATTTGGAGCCTAATTGTAAGATGTATTTGCCTTCACGGCTAAAATCTAATTAGAAGAGTTTGCTCCAATTCTTAAAACTATTTTATTTATCAAATTACTCGGCGAATTTGGTAGAAGAAACTTGAAGTCTACCTGTAAGATCTCTTAACTTTGACGGCTAGAACCAAATTCAAAGAGTTTGCTCCAACATATAAAAATATTTCATTTATCAAAGTATATCGCGAATTTGTTTTAAACAATTTGGAGCTAAATGCGCGAGGTATTGCGGCTTAATTTAGATTTGAGGAGTGTGCTCCGACCGTTGGTACAAGGCTATTTTTTAAATTAATTTGCCAATTTAGTCAAAGGCCATTCGAGTCTAGTTTTTTCTTCGCTTTTCCAACCTGTTTCCTGTGTTACATTCGAAAATTGTCATCTTAAAGATCTTTTTCTTCTATTGTGGCACGCAATAGCCTTAAGAAAAAATAAATTGGCGTTTACTTTTAAAGTTTTTTGCACGGGAAATATTAAAAGGAAGATTTGTTAAAATGTTGCCAGGGGCAACTCTGTGCAGATTGTCCAAATTTTCCCGCCAAAAGTCTTAGTGTATATATATACGATTCAAAACACCGTTTATAATAATTTTACTGAAAAATTACTTAAGCATATTGACTTGTAATTCAAAACAAATAAATGCCAAGTTGATATGAAACGTTTGTGGCTTATTCAGTGAAACAACAAAACTGATCACTTTGAAGACTATTACTTAGTAGATAAATAACAAGACAACATGGAAATAAAAATGAAATTTATTAGCAATGTAAATCATATATTCAAAATACAGCATTTATATACTTTTTCAAAAAATTGGCGCATGCGTATTTTGGGCGCCGTATTTTGGCGGGAAAATTCACCAGATTTTAACAGATGTTACTTACAGACTAAATAATGGTGCATTCGTATTTCGAGCGCCCGTATTTTTCGAAGTTTTTTGGCGGGAAAACTTAACACTTTTAAACAGCCCATACCATGAATATTAGGCCGACGAAGAAAAAATTCAAAGTCCAACGAAATCGCGAAATAACGCTTGCTTACGTTTGGCTTCAAGTCGTCGATTTTATTAAATGTCTCTTGGCTCTGATTCGTCGTGTTCTTGAGAGAAATGGGTTACATCTGTTTTCTACCTTGTCTTGTCTTTGGATCTCAGCCGTCCATGTTTGATTCGAGCATCACTCAAACTGCGAGGAAGAGGAAATGAAACGGAAAATTAACAAATGCAAGAGATGTTGAACCTTCTTTCGAGTCGCTAATATATGAACACCAACTTTAAAACTATTTTAAAACTATTAGTGTCATTCAGGGCTCGACACTAACTTTTCAACTTACTAGCCAAGTGGCTAGTGACATCTGTTTTTAGATGTTATGACAATTTCAGTCGGTTTACTAGCCAAACTGGCTAGTGGAAACTAAAAACCACTAGCAAAAACTGAATTTCTACTAGTCTGTGGCTAGTGGGCTACCGTTAGTGTCGAACCCTGCAACTTAAGAATGAGTCGCTACGTAAAGGAAAGTGATCGTTTCCTGGATTTACCAAAATACTCAGTATGGTAGCTGATAAAAATTCTTATAAGTTATCGAAATAAAGTTACATTCTCGCCTTTCTCCCACTAGTGTTCAGCTGTTAGGGATTGAGGGATTGAGGAATTGAGCTCTTCAATTTGGAGTGAACAGGTCATAATTTTGCATTCAAACAACAACATGCAAGAAATCAAAATGTTCGCTAATATTTCCGCTGAGATTCATCATGCCGGAATGAAATTAATAATTGTATAAATTGAGTTTCAGCTACAATTTATTGTCATATTTCCTATCGCTTGTTTTGTCTGTATAAATCTTTCAAGCCACAAACAACTATGCTCTTCCTAACATTTAAGATTGAAAAAATTATATAACAAAACGACAACGAAGCCAATAATTTTCGCAAGCTTCTTGATCGCACCTTAGAAATGTAAACTACTGTACCTGAAAGTTTTGAGTAATAATAAAAATTACACTTTTTTTTTTTTGTACCGTGGTTTGGCAACACGATGTAATATCTGAGTTTAAGGTTTTGTACTTTGTTGAAAAGGCGCTAGCACCAAACCTAATCGAATGAAACAATTTTGCCTTCAAATAGTAGAATACATCCTTTATTTGACGACTAAAATACACAACTTGGTAAACTTCACTATCCTTGGAATGTTATACTACAAAAGCAAGATGGTGGAATTTTAAACAAGAGTTTGTCACATTATGTAAATTATTTGCTGTAATTGATGTCAGTGATTCAACAATCATGATTTTGAAATAAAGCTTCCCTTGAATAAAAGCCACATCGGAAATGCTATAAACGTCGTGGCTTTTGACTGAATGTGTCTATTCAGTCTGTCTCTCTAGACTACGACTTTCAGGACGCGTTTTTATGATGCAGTACAGGAGACAAGATTGAAAAACACGGAAATAGTTCATTAATGATTTAAGTTGAATTTTTATACCAAATCGTGCACTGAAATATACTAAATAGTTGTGAAGACGCAACTGTCTTTTTATGTTGGCTGAAGTCACCAGAACTAACTATACCACATTTACTAAATCGTTTCTGATAGAAAAAAATTCTAATAATTTTAAATTTCTGGGGCCCACTTTTGGATTTGGTGCAGTGTTTCCTTCCTGAGTTAGGACATTTAACAATTAGGCTCAAACATTTTTAAACAAATTAGCAGAAAAAATCTACATTGCTTGATGATACACTCAAGCATTAACTGAAGAAAGTAACACCTATTTGGTTTCAACCTCAAAAGCTGAGCTCTAAAAAGTTAGCCTCCAAGAATGTTTTGGTTTTTCATTTAAGTAAACCCACATCAGTCCATAATAAAAATAATACCTTTCGTGAAAAGTCTATTTTTGGAGCATGCCATTTAAATTTGGGTTTAAGCTTTAAGGGCTGAACACTTGACAATTGAACTTCAAAGATTTTACTGAACGAGGTAAAAAATTTATTGTGTAAAAGCGGAAATTACAAGACTATCAACACTTACCAGAGATTTAAAATAAAATTTAAAAGAAACTGTATTAAAGTACAAAAGATCTCATTTTGAAAAGAAGTCTTGCAAACATCAAACATTTCAGCGATCTTAATTCAACACAAATCAAACGTTTAAAAATCATCGACTTTAAAACACACTGAATCAGGCTTCAAATAAAAGAGCTAAACAATGACTAGATCATTTTGTTTGTGATTTTAGTGTTTTACCATCAACAGAAACAACGTAGCAGTCGATTAATCAACATAACAGCGCTGTAAACGACTGAAAATCGCCTTGATCAAAGAGAAATTCACCGGAAATAGGCCTTTACAGAAAACAGATTGAATCATTTCTTTATTTGCGTTTTCCTACACTTTTGACTTTGAGGAGTTCGATAAATCCAGGGTTGAAGCGTTCATTACAGACCAGCACTAGACTTGGGAGCGTAGATAGCCGAGTCGTGGAAAAAAACAAACAAACAACCAAACAAACAAACAGGCAAACAACTCACGTTTTTTGAAAGTTGTCGTGTTTTCTATTCCTCCCTTGAATTCCTTGATTTAGTGATAACCCCGTCCTAAGCCTGAAGTTTTCCTGATGAAAGAAACGAGAGAAATTTAAGTTGCGAAAACGTGCATACTTACATGTGTATTACGGTAAGTATTTCTTTAATTGTGAATGACGAGGATCAATGCTGGGATCGAAAGACTTAATCAGAACCATCACATTTTCGATTGGAGATTTCAATGTCCATAACTGAACGAAGGCAACAAGGATCGCTGATTTGACTCTTGGCACACAAACTTAGTAGGGTACTTTGCAAGCCAGATTGTGGCCATGGAAATTTAGCGAGACAGAGTGTATACAGTCAGCTACATGTACATTCAACATTCAAATATAGGATGCAAGTTCATAACAATGATGCTACTCCCAAGTGGTCAGTGTCAGTTCCTCTGACAAGTCACTGGCAAAACTATTCATATTCCTGGGAGGAGAGAGAGCCACTAAAGGAGATCACAAGATCTGTTATCCAGTAAACGGATTGGCAAGAGTACCATATAACCCCATACATTTAATTATGCATTCAGACTAGTAGACTTTGTTTTTAAAGTTCTGTCGTGAAAGACAAAGAAGTGGAATGCATAACTAAATGTATGGGGTTATATGGTACTCTTTCCAACGGATTTAATGTCAAGAATTTTAGGTGAATCGAATCTCTTTTCTTTAGCGAAGATTGGAAGTGGGGGGAATAACAGGCGCTTTAAAACGAATTTAACTTTAAATACTAATAAAAAAGAAACTGTGTACAGAATGAAAAGTATAAAATTAAAGATAAGTGAGTCACAAAGTGTGATCGGCACATTATCAATAAAGTATGCATTCCTCGCTGCTACCTTAAAAGTCACGTGCTTCATCAAAAACTGTCATGGCGGCTGCTACTGTAGATTTATCTCACACTGAGCTGAGTATGTAACATGCTCTTCCTTTTTACATTTAACTCTTAGAATAAATTTTACTGGAGTAGGAACGAGAAATGCGAACACTGCATTTCTATCCAAATAATATAAATAAACTTAGGTTCTTTACCTTCAAAAACGTCCTCACACAATAACATCAGTCCATCCTTGTTTGTCGTCGGATTAAAACTCCTCGCTTCAGCAACCTCGAAGAAAACTCTTCCACCTTGACATAATGGACGATATCCAGAAGGTATTTGTTTGAAAAGATGCGTTTCCTGGCCCCAGAAAAGCTGAAAAAGACGCTGACGTTTCTAAAAGTTCGTAAGGTCTTTCCGCGTGCAGACCAATCTCACTTATGAAAATTAATATTTATGTTCAAAGTTATTTGTAATTCAAATCAGGTTAGCCATCGGAGAGCTCTTCCTTAAATTTTAAAACGACATAATGTGACTAGCTGTAAGCTGATTATAATATCGGTAAAGTTTAACACAGAGATGTAGACGTCGTTGTAATTACATAAATACTACCTAGAACTCGAATCAACTTGAACTTTTAAGAAAGATTCCCTTGAGAAGTACTTTTCAATGATTTACTTACTTGAACTACCCGTTAAGTCGGTCGACTGTTTTTCAAATTTATCAAATTAGTGGCATCATACAGTATTTCAATCTGTACGCGCCCAAAATCAGTTCATATCAGCATTCAAGTCAAATGAACGATACTGGAAACTGACAGTAAGAAAGAGGCTACGAAATACGGAACAGTGATAAGATATCCCAGCATAGTTTGTGGTAGGAAGTACTCGAAAATGTTCCATCCTTTTGTTAAATGATCTTCTATCACGGAAATAGAGTCGGAGTGGAACGTTTTATGGCGAGTCTCTATCAACACTCTTCTCTTATCTAAACTCAGTTCTCTGCAGAAATTCAATTGCATTATAGAAAAACAGACAAAACAAGAATATGTTGCCAGATATAAAGAAGAATCGACATAAACAGGCAGACCTCCAAGACGAAGCAGTTCTTCTTTCATCTTCTTTAGTTTACATCTCGTGAAAAAAAATCCTAAAACTTCTCCCATCATTTTCTACTCTGTGATTCTCGTCCCTAAATAACTCTTGGTTGTGCTGCAAACTCAGACCGGCTACCTCCCACCACACACAACATTTTACTGACTGATGGCTCAACTTGTTCTTTGTTTGAGCGATGCCCTCTGTGAGTGGCTCAAGATAATCTATCCACGCCTCATCAGAATCTGTTTTTTTCAAGAGGTCCAGTAATCACTGCTCGACCTTTCTAGCCCTTGGTGTGTCCCTGTAAAGCGAAAATACGTCTTTGTTAAAATGTTTTGCTGCAATATTGGGAGGAATTTGTTCACAATTATAGGTAGTATCATTATTATAGAAAGGGCATTTTCCACTGGCGTGTTTTCGAAAACAAATTCCGGAAGAAAAGACAAACTGACGAACTTGCGAACTCTCTCAATACTTGGATACTCTGTCACTAAAGCTTCCGAAGACATGTTTACGCTAAAATATTCAGTAGGATTCGTGCGAAAAACTGGTGTCAAATGTCAAAATAATTTAATGTTATGAAAACTTGACTATAAGTTATTTTGACAACACAGTAAATAAAGAAAAAAGAAAGAAATCCTCAAGGACACTAGAATTTGTATTTCAGCTATCTTCAAGAAGTGAAGTTAGTGAAAAATTTTATGTCAACACCTTGTTTGTTCCCTTTCTCAGGTGAAAATCACCTGGGCAATGACTGATAACTAATGAACTGTGAGCACATATGTTTTTATTCAATAACTTAACAATTGAAAAGCCTTACAGTACTAATAGTATTAAGTAAATTCTGATTTCAACATTAATGCTTTGAACCATCAGGCTAAGATAAACTGTGATTATGCACCTATAATGAGCTGCATGAGCCAAAATAATGCTTCACTCAGCTTTTAACTCTTATTGCCTTCCCCCCTGTTTGTGTAAGTTTTTTCTTGCTTAGTCTGTGATCAGGCAAAATAATAATCAGCTATCAATGCCCTGACACTGATGCAATGTGAACAAGAGTGCTTTTATAGTTCATTGACTCAGATGACTCCTGACTGCAACTGTTTGTGATGGTGTGTGATCATTTCTCATGTTGAGTATGATATGTACAAATACAATTAGCTTTTTGACTGTAGATTTTATTTATCCATTTTTTTTCTAGATTTTAACCATAGTACACCACACATTTATCTATAAATAGTAAATGATCTCAAGTGCAAAAATATGACCATGCTTTGTATCAGCCATGATAGATGGCAAAATTTAACTTTAAAATCCCAAATTTATGACTGAAATACAACAATAGAAAAATAAAATCCATGTTCAAGGTCTACTACATGCATTAAAGCATAGCTTGATTCTATTGGAAATCATGTTAAGTTAGATTTACTTTACTTTCTATCTGTACACTTATGACAAATGCCCTTCAATAACATCTGATGAGGTTTAACTACATCATGCTTTTTCTAACTCTCAGCAGCAGATATTAAAAAAAAAAAACAACATATAGTTATTACAGCAAAATGAAAGAAATCTCACTCTTCAAGGCATAGAGAGCACTGAAAAAGTCACTTAAATGGATTTCAAATGGTTATTGTGTTTCACCGGTACACAAAATATTGTGATAGTACATGCATGTTAACATAATTAAAGTATAAAACCTATTATTTTGTATCACAGTGTTCAAACAGTTTTACTTTCAATGTCTGACTAATATCAAGATTGTAAGAATCCAAAGTTTGTCTCTAGCTGTTTTACACCCCACCACTAATTATTGTTGATTGCTTCTGCTTTCTTTCTCTTTTCTTTTCTTTCTTCTAAACACTAACACCCTATTTTCTTGAATAAGTACTCCGGTGCTTGGAAGGAGGGAGATTAATCAAGGTGGAGGGGTGGGGGGAATTAATCAAGAGGGGTGCATTTTTGGCAGTATGGCCTCAGGGGTGGGTGCTTAAAGTGTGGGAGTTATTTGAGGAAACAGTCATAGCTTTTATGGCCTATGGATGCGAAGGCATTGTGTTGTCCTGTTGAGTGAGTGTAACAATAGAATATGAAAGACCTCTTAGCCTGCAATGAAGTCTGCTGAATTTTACCTGATATTCCTCACTCTTGGCTTTGTTTGTTCTGAAAGATCTTCGGTTGTTCAATGCTTGGTGATGAATTCTTTGGATCGCTTTGAATTTTGCTTGGAAGTAGCTCATGATTACACTTCTTCCCAATGCCACTGAATGTTTGTTTCGGATTACTACTGTAACAGAAAATGATAAGCATCTTACAATTATTTCAGGATGGTGTGTGAAAAACCAAAGCTTTAGCTTGCAGAAATGTCTTAAAAGGTTTGATTGGCGCATTACAAAAACTTAAAGGAAAAATTATTTTCTTTAAGGAGAGAGCATTCTACCCTTTGAATTAGTGAATTATTCCCACCAAATTGGAAGATACAACTTTTTCAGTTCTTGCCGTGACACCATAAAAGATGATAAATATCTCAAAATAATTTCACAGCGGTGTCTCCAGCATGTAATTGAAAAAGGACTTTTCCTTTCAGAAATATCTAAATAGATCATCACTTCATGGAAACTGAAGAAAAATGTTATTTATTCAAAAAGAGAGCAGTTTACCATTTCGATCAGCAACAAAATTAATGTTCAAAAGAGCTGCAAAATTTGCAAAGTGAGCAAGGTCCGAAATACGATACCTTAAAGTGACCTTATAAAACAGTACAAAGTAAATCTGAAAATATATGATAATAATAGAAAACATTTCATTGACCTGGAGCTTAAAGACTATGTGAAATATTTAGGTGTTCTTATTGGCAGTAACCTTAGCTAGAAACATCATATCAATCATATTGCATCAAAAATAAGTAAAGGCATTGGTATAATCTGTAGACTAAGGCAACTTGTACCATATTCGACATTACTAAATATATATAGATTACTCATTTATCCTTATTTATCATATGGCCTTGTAGCTTGGGGCCAAGCAGCTAAGTCTCATATGGAAAAAATATTGATACTCCAGAAAAGGGTTGTGTGATTGATGAACTTTGCCAACTATAATTCACTCGCCATCCCTTATTTTATATCAGCTAATATTATGCCAATTAGTATGCTTTACGTTAAACTCTCTTCTTTCTTAATGCATGATGTCCATAACAATTTAACCCCCCCTTATCTTTCTGGTTTGTTCACTCTTTCCCACCAAATACACAATCATAATACCCGATCTTCATCTGCCGGTAACTATTACATAAACTGTTCTAGGCTAAATCAACATAAAAACTCATTCTCAAGGATTGGTTGTAAAATTTGGAATAGCATCCCAGGAAACTTAAGGAATCTTCCAAAATATATTTTCAAGAAAAAGCTAACAATAATATTATTTCAAAATCTTCAAGTTCAAGATAGTTATGTTGATGTAGAACGAATAATCAATGATGTGTCCAGTTAATAGTAGTGTATAACTTATGTATTCTTCTATTTATTGTCACATGTTTCTATTTCTGTATTTTTATCTCATACTGTCATTTCTGCTTTTAAATTAATGATTCAATATTTAATTTCTGTTTCTTGTATATTTATTGAATCTTTTGTTGAACCGAAATTTATGTAAGATGTTGCAGCGTTTACACACTGCCCGCCGAGACTAGATATGCTATTTGTGGGTAGTGGTTGATTATGTTTAGTTAAGTTAAGTTAAGTTAAGTTTTTTTTTAAGTTAAAATCTCACAAAGAAAGAACATTGTTTTCTAAGAAGTCAGTGTAATTCAAGTCATCATAGAATATACGGAATATAGAATATATACATCATATATATACATATACATCATACATCATGGAATGGCAGAATATCCCACAATATCCTACATGGAATGCCTTGTTGTATGAAACAAAACTCTCAAAAAAGTGGAATTGCAATCTCTGATCAACTGGCAAAAGTAAAATTAAAAGATGCCTAGTGTAATCATTATTAGAGCTGAGAGAAAAGACTGATAGAGGAACAATGAGGTTCTTGAGCTAAACCGTACAAGTTATCATCACCATTACTACTGTTATCCTTGTAATTATTCCGATCATTCTTATTATTACCTGCCAGAGCTCCAGCGGGTATTCTGTTGTGAGTTGCCGGGTAATTTCACAGCGCTCGCCGGAGTTGCAGTCACCACGCTAAGTCGCAATCAAGTTGCTCTCTGGCAGGTGTTGAACCAAGGTAGCCACCTATTTAAAATCTTACTGAAAGCACTGTATAATAATAATAATAATTTGTATAGTGCAAATTCCATACAATGTTCATATGCGCTTCACAATAAAATAACACAGTTACTTTAATAATTAATACAACTATTAAAATAAGATAAAATTCAATAAGTACTAGAACTACATACATATAATAATGTTATACTAATACTGCTATAATATTGTGTTCAGGCATTATCATTATTGTTACCATTTTATCATTTGTAGCTGAGTGTCAATAAGTCACTTTATTATCCAACTACACCTAGATGAGTACAAATAACGCCATAGACGAGTACAAATATCAAGCAGTATTTGTACTCGTCTATTGTACTACCGGTTAAACTGGTTTTCTCGCTTCGCGCAAGCGAAGAATTGGATTGTTAAGGAAAAAAAAAAGTGGCCGACAATTTCAATCATATTTCCGGCGACTAAGAGTCAGAATGGCTGGCAAATATAGATCAAAGTTCATTTGATGAATCGAACGAAGAAAAACAGCTTGACGATAAGAAAATTTCTTCATTTAACGACGGAAAATAGAAACAGCAACACAACAACGCGCCAATTCCGTTCCGCTTCGCATACTTCTGTCACGCACTCCCCGTAAATAAATATCCACGAAATTCGCCCGCAGAAACAAGCGTATTGGATAAAGAACTTATAAGACGTTTTGTTGTGTAGTATCGCTGAGTATTTTTACTCGTTATTTGTATTTTGACTCGCCCTACGGGCTCGTCAAAATACGACACAACTCGTAAAAATACTCAGCGATACTACACAACAAAACGTCTAATAAGATATATATATT